GCAGCGAGGCCCGACTCTTTCCCTTGGTTTATCTTCCGGGCTCGCTTGCATTCAGATTCGCTGGCTGCTGTGGATCTACAGTACCTGTCTTTCATGACCGCGTCTTTTCTACATCTGCGTGCTTCCTTCTCTGGCCTTGCAAAGACTGTCCCTATAATCTTCCCTGAACAAAGTCTCGATGCCAACGATGCCTGCCGTGTGCTGGAGCACGCGTGGCTTCTCTTCCAGTGCTCCGTTCTCACCCACAATGCCAGCGATGTAGGCGATAAGTTCGACTTGCGCATGGAGCACTTGGACACGACTTTGCAATCCTTTGAGTCCAAGCTGCAGGGTGTGCTGCGCGAGCAAGCACTTGCGCATTCTTGTAGATCGTGTCACAACCCTGTTCTGGCCGGAGATGGAGGCATGAAGTTGACGACGGCCCTTTGCAATGAACGAACCTCGCAATCCATGGTTGATGCGGAACTGAATCTGCACCTGCCAGTCGGCTGCTGCCAGCGCCCGGCGCGCGGGAGTCTTTTTTGCAAAGACCATCGACTCCTTTGTTCCGCTGATGTTGGTGCTCCTGAAATTCATTCCCACAAACGCGTGGCGGGCAGATTGCAGCTTCGATATAGTGGCTCTTCGGACTGGGTGCCGCTGGCGGAAGTGAATCGGGAACGCCTTCTCCAATACGATTCACGCCGCTTGCTTGCCTGCCACAACCAGGCAGGGCCCGCAGGAGCCCCGGATGTTCCAGCCCGACAAATTCTGCTGGATGAACCCTTGCCGGATGAGCTCGGACCTTGCCGATGCGACAAAGGAGAAAGCAAGCGACTCGCTGTTCGCAAGTATGCTGGAGTGTTCCTGGTGCTTTTGCCCTGTGGCCACATCCTTGTGGTTCACCACATGCTGGGGTCCGAAAGCTTGCCACAGGTGGCGTACGCCTTCGCGCAAGCGCGGAAATTGCTTCCCGAGAAAAAATACGTCTGCTACGACAACGCCTGCGCACTGGCGCGCTACTGCCGCAATGAGCGGCGCAACAGTGGCGATGCTTTATCCGAGATCCTTGGCAGCTGCACTTTTTTCCTCCCCGAATCCCACCGTCGCAACCACACTGCATGCTTGGATCCAGCCAGCACGTATTACTTGCCAGAAGTCCTCAAGGGCAACCACGATGAGCTGAAGCATGTCAATGGCGAAGCGCAGGAACAAGTTTTTGCCTGGATGCGGTGGATGGTCCACGTTGCAAATCCAATGACGCCCGTGAAGCACAGAATCTTCTTCTTGTTATTGGTGCTTTTGAGGAACACCAGCCGAGCCGTTTCCCCCCCCGCTCCGCGCCAGCGCGCGCGTGGTCCATATTGGCCTCGACAAGGCGCGCGACGTGCTCGTGCAAATGCAGTGCCTGCCCAAGCTGGTGCTGATGTCGGAGAGGCTGCGGAACCGGCCAGTGGACCGCCTAGCGCAGACGCGCCCGACGAGCCGCCACCTCCGCCAGCTGAAGGAAGGCTCGCGCCTGACGTCCCTATGGCGCCTGGGTATGCTTTGAACCTGCGCGATGGCAAGCTTCACCGTCTCTTGGCCGGTGCTGTCCTGGCATGCGCGTCTCCGATGCCGCTCCGCGTCGAGTACAAGCACGAGTCAGCGGGCTTCAAGAAGCTTTGTTTGAAGAACGGTTGCTTCTGAATGACACCATGCGCGTGTCGTAGCGCGCAACGCTTGCCAAAATCTCGTGAGAAAAGAGCGCACATCAAGCACCTATGCTTGGCCCAGCTGCCATGTGTTGCACCGTGCCATGCTGCAGCTTTGTTGCCCACAGTCCTGCCTAGTCGTGCTTTGGCACTTGCTTCCTTTCTCGCCTTTGGCTTGCGCCATGCTGGCGGGAGCCCAGGACGCGCGCGCAGGCCGCGCTAGTCGCACATGTGCTGTTGTCGTGCTGCTCTTCATCCTCTCGCTGCTCATACACGATGTACTTGCCGCAGGCGCGTCCAAAGCTGGTCAGGCTTCCATGCTCTAGTGGACTGTTGCTTTTCCGCCTTTCTTCCGCTCTTCCTTGCCAGCATTGCAGGGGGGCTTTTTGCTTCCTGCGCTTCGCACCCGTCTATGTGATCCTCCAATGGTTGCGCGTGGACGCAGCGTCCTCTCGCCGCGCTCGCTGGATGCGGCCTGCGCGCCGCCCGTGTGCCCCAATTGCACTGCTTTCATGTCGCACCCAACGTAGGTGAGCCCGTGACTTTCAGCTGAGGCGCTCGTGCTGACGTTGCCGCTGAACAGCGGGGCCTTCACACTTCCCCCCTTGCATCGCCCTGCGCACTTGCGAGCGTGGCAGGCCACGCAGCGCGGGACGGACCCCGCGACGCGCTGCCTCCCGCCCAGTGCGAGGAGTGTTTGGGTGCAGGCTCTGCCCCAGCGACATCTTTGTGCTATGAGGGTTTCGAGGCAGGTGACTTCTTTGCGGACGAGCTGCCGTCCTTCATCTGGAGGATGCTGTCCCTGGACCGCGTTAGCCCTGTCCTTGAGGTGTGGCTTTCTGTTTGCGTCGCTCAGGTTGGACCCAACGTCGCGCTGGGGTTCGCTGCTTCGGTCTTTGGCAGTCCTAGCGCATCTCACGCAGCCAGAGCTGATCATGCTTCTTTGTTACAAAGCCCGGCGCTGCGCCTCCCTCACAACTATCCTACTATCTCGGGAAGATGCAGTCTCCTCTGATGCTCTCCTATCAGAGCTTGTTGGGGCTGTTTCTCCATGCTTGCCGATCGCCTTGCATTGCCTGGACCACGCTCGCGCAGCCTGCCAGCCCATTGTGCCAGGTGGTCCGTGGTTCGAAGCTGGCATGCGGGTGCCGTTGTTGATTCGCGGGCTCGATGGCTACTGGTGCCATGGCATGCTGCAACCGGCGTTCCTTCCGGAGGTTCCGCCAACCCTCGACCAACCCGAAACGAACGGACCTGGAGACTTGTGTGATTACGGGCATGATGTTGTGGCGTTTGTCCAGCAGTTGGCTCATGTCCTCCGGGTTGATTCCGCCGCTCTGTCTGCCGCTTTGCTGCGTCACGCAGCATCCCTGCTTGCGTGGCGTCGCCTTACTTTGCCGGGTATCCATTCCGTGGTCAGCACGCTGATGGCTGCGAACCACTTGCGACAAGGCCTGACAATTTTCGATGCTGCAACCACGACATGGTGGCGCATCTGCCAGGACACTTTCCAACTGATTCCCCCCATCCGCAGCGGTGAATGCTGCAGCTTTCTTCAGCGAGAGCGTCGTGTCGGCTGGACTGCGTGGCTACATCTCGTTGATGGAGCTTGCGCGCCTGTGGCCCACGCATGGATCTCCACGTGGGACTTACACTTCTGCGATCGCAGTTGCATCTTCTCTGCGCTGCTGCTCGATCCCAGCGCGCTAGCGCTCTTGCCACTGGACGCTGGAACCCGCGCGGCTCTTCTGGCGATTGGAACTTGGGGCTACTTTGCTGCTGCAGAAGACTTGCAGCTCATTGTCGACGCTCTTCCTTCATTATATCCCGCCGGGCTGCTTGTGGTGCACTCAGCGGGCTTGCTCCTTCACTTCGCCTATCGCAGTCCAGCGCGATGCATCCTACCGGCAGCTTTGCTTTCCCTGGACGCCCGGCCAGTCTGCGTTTACTACTGCGAGCGCAGGCGACACTTCCTGGCAGCGGACATTCGCTGTCCGGTTGCCTCGGATTGGTGCGAATGCCCGCCGTCTGCATACGGATCCAAGCGTTTCATTTGTCTTTCCAGCGCACACATCGCATCATATATTGCAGACATGCGTGGCGGAATGCCTTCCCGGCCCCCCCTTGAGAATGAAGTAGGACCCCCCCCACCCCTTCCAATCGAGGCGGTCTCGGCGCGAGTGAGCATTGGAGGGTGCGACCAGAAGCTCAAGCGTTGACCTCTATTTCTGAAGTGTGCCCATTGGCACCGGCGCGTGCCTGTACCCATAACCCCCTTTGCTAGCGCAGCAACGTGGAGGTGGAGCGTGTCGGGCACGTGCGTCATAGGGCAGCGCTTCAGAGGCAGCCACCCAAGCTGACTGATGCGCAAGGCCGCACCCAGCACCGATGGCCAAAAAGCCTAGTCTTCGCGCAGCGCATCCAGAGCTTTCGTCAGCGAGCGAGGCAATCGGTGTGCCTGAGTTTCAGGACTTTTGGGGCTGTTGGAAGCTGGGTTGGCTGTGAGGGGCCCATTGGCCAACCACGGGTGCGGTGAAGAGAGTTTTTCGCAGAATGCCCATGTCTTTGCTGGCGCATGTTGCGCATCCTCCAGGGCCTTGAGCCGACCCGAACACATTGTGGCCACACTTGGCCCCCTGGACAACTTGATTGTGGGGCCATTCTTTTATTCGTCTTTCAATCTTGCTCTAGGCCAAGACGTTTGGTCTTGGCCACTATAAACTTTGCGAGTCAGTGAGCGCCTTGTAAGCTGGCTCGCGTGTGCTGGCAGCACTTCCGTCCTGGGCATTGGCTTCCAATCGCGCAGAGTTCGCTATTTGTCCACATCTAAGCTGCATTTGGCATTTGACACCCCGGGGTGTGCAACCACGCCTTGGTTGCATCTCTGCGCATGATCCAACAAAGCCATTTGTCGCCTTCGGTCTTCGGGGCGCCCCTTGGGTTAGCAAATGAGCAAAAGCCCGCAAGAGCGCTAGGGGATCACCCAAAACCGATACCCCCCTTTTGATCTTCAAAACACTGAAAATCGATAAGGGACCACCCAACTTGCTCATGGCATGCGTTTAGTACAAGACTATCCCCGCTACTGACATGGAGAGAAGAAAACAACACATCTACAATGAGGCGGCTCTCCGAAGCCACCGCAAGCCGACTTTGCCCAGGGTATTTGCTTTGATCCCAGCTGAGCTGGTATTTGCCTAAGCAGTTTGGGCGAGTTTTGGGAAGCTGAGTTCTTCCATTGCACTCGATGTCAGCGTCAAACACAAAGAGACGAGCGCCCACTTCCAGTCATACTCTTTTCTCACGTGTGCTCCAGTCCATTTGCAGGAGGCTGCCCGACTCGAGATGGAGCAGTCAGTGGCAGAGGATGGCAAGGCCTGCCCTCGTGGCATTGTATCATGCTTGTCCAGACAGAACATGTGGCGCATTGCCAGCTTCCCAGGGCAGGCGGTTTACCTTTTGCCTCCGAGCTCCTGTTTTTGCGGTTGTCGAAGCGTTTACACACACACACACACACAAACGACCATTTTTCTCTTAAAGCGTGGCACAAGCAGACCAATCAGTGGGAATGCAATCTGAAAACCCCCGGGAACAGTTCAACGCGGCTAGGCGCCGCCTGCACCCTTGCTGGTGGTGCTTGGCGGCGGCGGCTTTAGCAGCGAGGAGGCCGCTGCGCACGCTTTCAGCTGGATTGAGCAAAGGCGACTTGGGCCAAGCCACCAATCCGAAGAACCAAGTCGCGGGAAGCTGAAACTGGCCACTTAATTTGGGCGTCCTTTGGGCGTCTGGGCGCAAATCGGCAAGGTGCTGCTCAAAAAGTTGGAGCTGCTCATAGGCCTTTCTCGCCTGGCTCCCTACGAGAAGGACGGAGCTTCCGGTTGTCTCTTGAGCCCGGTGCTGAAACCGGGGCCTTTGTCAACCCGTGCGAAGCAGGTTTCTTGTTGTTGTTGAAGTTATTTGGTGTCGAGAAACACGTGACTTTGCAAGGATACACCAATCTGTCACAACTCAATGTGGCAAGGCACTTCAGTTCCATCAGCTGCGAGTAGGGCTTCCTCTGCCGCTGATACTGAATTATAATGATCACAGCATGAGGCAGTATCACTCAATTTTCCATTGGCGCCAAGCTACTAGATTGACTACCCACCACAGATGTGCCCATGAATACAAACATATTTGCTCAAATTGAAGCCTAAGGTACTCCTTGGAGTTCCCGTCCCCTTCTCGTTCCCATTCCCTGTCAAGTTTGGTTCCGTTCCCACTTCCATTCCCGTTCCCATTCGCAACTCCCGTTCCCATTCCCAACTCCCGTTCCCATTCCTACTCCCATTCCCATTCCCATTCCCACTCCGGTCCCCGTTCCGGTTTGCATTCGCTCCCATTCCCGTTGATAGCTTTTTGGTTGTTTTGGTGGGAAAATAGATGGCCCTGGTTTACCTGGTGGTTTAATCATCTACCAAAACCATCTAATTGCCCTAAAAGGACACCTATGTTCCCGTTCCCATTCCATTCCCCCGGTTCCCCCAAAAAATATCATGTCCTGCAGGGCGGCTTGCAGATCATGGCGGCCGGTGAGCTGGCCTGCTGCCTCTTGTCAGGCCGCTTTTCGTCAGAGCCACGTCATCCAAACCCGGGTAAGGGACGATCCCAGCCACAAATGGTGCTGGTATTGCGACCATTTTAACACGGGGTTTAGATTGAACCCGGGTAATTGGAGGGGAGAAAGGGACGATCCCAGCAATAAAGAAATTTGGGTGCGGATATTCGCCTTTTCAGTTTCGTTGCATGGTTCTGGGATTACGACTATTTTAATACGGGGCTTTGACTGTGACTCTTGGGACCTTTCTTGCCACAGACAGTCTCATGGCCAGGTGTGCTGGGCATCTCCATGGGCGGTCCTGCCCGCGACTGGGCCAAGGGGGCGCTTCAGGAGGACGGGGCAGCTGGGTTAGGTGCAGTTGTTGCCTGGAAATGGTTTGGTGCCGCAGCCCTGAAGACTCATGGCGTCGGCTATGACGTTGTGGCTATATCTGGGACAAGTTTGCCAGATATCGGGTTATGACAGATTCCTGGTAGGGCGTGCCGCACGGACTTCAGGCTTTTGCGGAGCTGCTCTCGTCGCAACCAACTCACCAACTCACCAACTCAAGTTAGCCTCTTTGGCGCAACTAGTGGGGATGAGCAGGCAGCCCTGTGCTTGACCATTGGCAAACCGCTTTTGTGCATGAGGGCAGCAACAGAAGAGGAGTGATGCAGCTCCCAAAGCTTGACGTGTTCCATATTGAGACCCTGAACCCTCCAGATGTTTTGTCTCCAAGAAAGCAAGTAGGCTAAGAAGCTTAAGATGCCTCTAGCCTCGGTTCTTTTGATCTGGGAGTCTTGAAGTTGTCTTTTCCTCCAACGAATGCCTGGATAGATCAGACTTGGACTTCCTTTGGCACCGCTTTCCGTTTCTTCTTCCCAGCCTCGGAGGCGCTGCTGGACGTGCTCAGGCTGGGATGGCAAGGTAGCCGGCGCGACTCAGGTTAGATGCGCCTTTCCCCTGTGCTGCTGGTAGGATTTCCGCAAACATGACGAGACTCTGCAGCTGCACTGTCAAATGACTTTGAGGTTTTATGTTGGGGAGGAAAGGCCTCACCCTGTATGTAGACAGTTGCTTCTCCGGCAACAGCTCCCGTTGCCACTCTTTCCTGATGGCACTTTCATAGACCTTGCCATCCAATCAGTTGCACCGTGGGCACACCTGCGTACACGCACACGCTCTGACTGACGCACACGCACAGAAACTCCGATTTCATGGGTTCACTGAGAGGCTCTTCTGTGCACCGGGTGCAGTTTTTTTTTGTTCCCGGTTTGTCTTGGAGTTCCTGCTTCTGGGTCAAGGCTTTGACGACATGTTGCGAGCGGTTGCCTGCTGCCGCTTGCCTCGTGGAGCTCCCATTGCATGGTAGGTATCCTTGATGCCAAGCGAGTTACTCATTTCTGTGCCTGGGAGGGAACCGTGAGCCAGGACGGGTGTCTCGCCGGGCGCTTGATTCGCCTGTTCGGGCCGTGGGAGGTGCTGAACCAATCTTTCTTTTGACTTCAGAGGCGTCTCAAGGGCTCCAGCGGTGTGATACTTTTTTTTTGTTCAATGTTAAAAGCCGTTTTCGCGGCCTGAAGCTTGCGACTGAAGATTTGGCTGGATGTGTGACTGCAATCTCCGGTTTATCCAGAATGCTTGGGCTATTCTTAGGACCGCAGTCCTGGAGTGTGCGCAACAGCACTATTTCAATATTCGGTTGGGATGAGTTTGAGGCACCTTGGAGACACATGAGGCGTTAACGGGGGAACTCATGATGTTAGTTTTTGAGCGAGCTGGCATTGAAGGAGCGGGTCAATGGTCTCTAAGCCTTGGGTTTGTGACAGATGCGTTCTGGCAGGACTTCGGGTCTTGCCGAGATGCTTGCCAATGGACCTAGAAACGCTTGTCAAGGCCATTCATACGCACTGAAGAACCATCACGCATTGAAGAACCATCCTGATCAAGCAAACATGTGATGACATGTGAACGGACTGGATATGGACATTGGGATGAGTGGTTGGGCGATAAATGATTGGCGGACTGTGCTGTTCGTTGACTTGAAGCAAGCCGTGCCACCATATGAAGGGTGGGTTGCGGCATTTTCCGAGCTCGCAATAGCACCCTTGGAAGGTGGCTCTGGTGATATTGGCAGGTGCGAGTTCAAACAAACGTGCGCTAGTACTTACCCGGAGACCAGGGCAACGGACATGAGGAGTGAGAGCCACTCGCGCGAGTCGGAGCTTTCATTTCCTTAGGTTGTCGCTGCCCTTGGACTTGCTTTGCAAGGTGGGCTGGGATTTTTCGCAGTGGGGATGAATTCGTTGGTTCACACACTTTTCCTTTGGCAAAGCGGTCCACTGTGCCGAAATGAGCCCGGTTCAGCCTCTGAGGCCTGAGCGTTGACTCCACCTGAGATCCCTGCAGGGCTCCCCCTATTTCTGTGGATTTGAACACCACCTATTACCTATCGAACATTTAACGTGCGTCTGAGGCAAAAGTGCGGAGCCCCGTTGTGTTTCCACTTGACAGCCGGGCCTGGGGTCCTGCCTCGTCACACAGGGTCGTGACACAGCTACCGTCTTTCTGTTGACGCCAAACCAGTTTCCGCCTTACAGCTCAGGTGAATCGTTGACATGCCCGCTTGACTGATGTAGGCCAGCATTTTGTTCCAACGTGTCAGGATTAAGTTTCTTGTTTTGTTCGGGAGATGCAAAGTGATCTTGTGTGAATTGGTGACTCAAAGTTGAATGACTGCGTTGAGTTGCACTGCCGGGTCCAGGTGCCAGAGGGCGACGCCGAATCCCAGGACTCGCTTGTACGTTGCGCTTTCGGACTTTGGGCTTACCGACGTCCAATGGTGAGAGCGGTAATTGGAATGACGACGGCTTTGCTGCTTGTGCAGAGACAAAGATGGTTCATGTTTGCCTGGTGGGCGTACTGACCCTCAGAGTCGACCCAAGAGCATCAAACCGCCATTGACATGTTGAGCGAATTTGTATGAGCACCTGTCACCGTTACCAACAATTCAGGCGCAATGTCATAGTGATTTGCCTGCAGCACAAGTTCGGGACATTTGCTTTCAACAGCCACGTCGAGTCCGGCCCGTTTCCATGTCACTTTCAAGCAAATTCCCCTACTTTTGTTGCATTTCAGTGGATATTTTCCCCATTTGCCCGGCAGTGTTGCCTTAGGACCGCGAAGTCGTGCCCTTGGCCGCCCAGCGCCCGGATGCAGATGAGTGCCAAGCGGACGGCAAGCAGCCTTGGACAAGCGGGATCCGTGCTATTTAGCGTTCAGGAGGAGCAACCCTCTTGGAAAGGGGCCAAATATGCACTTCCACGTTTTGTTGGTGGGGTTAAGCTTCACCACCAGTCCAGTGTTCGCCAACACCATGTCCCACCAGTCCAGTGGGATCCTTGGATGTGTTTTTCTCGGCGGCTTTCTCGGCTTTGAGGCTGCCTGGAAGGTGTCCCAGCCGATCTTTCTGGGCTTCTGCGATGGCCGCCGTTGCCTGAGACGGCCGGTGAGAGTCGATGGCAGCCGCGAGAGTTCAGCGGCGGCGGTTGCTGACATGACGCAAACGCGGTGGCGACGAAGCACCGCCAGAGGCGTCCTTTTTGATCTTTTTGGTTGGTTTGGTTGAAAAATAGAGGGCGATTCCTGGTTTACCTGGTGGTTCAATCGTCTACCAGGGCCATCTATTTTCCAAGAATGACACCTATGACAACCGCGCGTCTGTCAACGAGAGAAAAATCGATTCGCTTGTGGCATCCTGAGGAGAGTGCTATGTCAGCTTGGATCCCGAGCATGGAACACTGCAGCTCAGCCAGCCAGGGGCCCAAGCGCGACCAAGCGGACGAAGCTTTAGGTTTCGGGCTGCAGTTGGTGGCATTGCGTGGTCTGCTGTTGCACAAGTCCTGTCATCGCCTGGTTGACATTGCTGGCTGTGTCTCCATGCTCGGGGCTGAAGTGCAACTGTTTCTCCAATGCGGCAAGGGTCAGAAAGTTCTGCTTTGAGGTCAGCATCTTCGCCGGAGGAAGGCCTTTTGGTCCAGCTGTCATGAGTTTTCCTGCCAGGGCCAGAAAAGTCGTTCTCATTCAGCCCGGTTTTAAACCCAGCAAATTTCCAGCCACTTTGCCCACACTCGGGTACCGGTCAAAATTAAACCACCAGGGCACCACAGGTTTTAGTCCATGTTTCCATTTGCCAGGGTGCCATTTTGGGGTTACCCTATTTGTGACCCACAGACACACCAAGCTCTGCTGCACCTCAGCCGTTTCCTCGCAGGTCCGGAAGCGCCGGAAGCGCTGGAGGCGGAACCTGCAGAGCCCGCGGAGCCTGAGGAGCCCGCGGAGCCTGCGGACCCGGAAGACCCGGAGGCGGCTGCTGACGTGGCAGAGCCCGAAGCCGCAGAGGAGCGCCGGCCAGAGTGCTTGCACATGACCTTCAGGATGCAAGTTCTGAGTACAACACAGAAGCGTGACCTTCATGACCGCATCCCCTTTTTGACAAAGTGAAGGGGTTGCAATGTGGCCAAGCAATGCCAAGCGGATCCTGAAAAGGCGATTTCAGCGCTTCTTATAAGGTGAGGGCGGAAGACTGCGTGGCAACACGGTGAGCTTTTGCTGGCAACTGTGCTGTTTTGTGAGAGCTGCAGACCCAATGCCCAGCGAGCCTGTGCTGTTTTGAGAGCCGCTGTGGGAGAGACCCTGCTGCAGGAGGCGGCCAAAACCTTCCCTGCGGGCGTGCCAGAGAATTGGACGCCCAAAGACATCGGGCCAGCTACGCTCGAGCAACTGAGGAGATTGTGCAGGGGATAGGGCTGGGGCAATGACCTCTAAGCAAGAGGGTCTGCGAAATGCATGCCGCCAGCACCAGCACCATCATCATCATCATCATCATCATCATCATCATCATCATCCTCATCATCATCATCATCATCATCATCATCCTCATCATCGTCATCATCATCATCGTCATCATCGTCGTCATCGTCGTCATCGTCATCGTCATCGTCATCGTCATCGTCGTCATCATCAGCATCATCCTCATCCCAATCCTCATCCTCATCCTCATCCTCATCATCATCATCATCATCATCATCATCATCATCATCATCATCATCATCATCATCATCATCATCATCATCGCCAGCATCGCCAGCATCGTCATCGTTATCATCCTCATTCTCATCCTCATCCTCGGTAACGAGTGGATTGACATGCTGAACGGGGCCGTGCAAACAAGGTATGTCCCATCCTCAAATCGCAGGATGCTGCTGCGCCGCAGTCGCGGGGCAGTCTGGAACGGCTCCCTGGGGTGCTGTGAGGCGGACGGGTGAGGAGGTGCTTGGCCCGTTTTCACCCGAGACTGTTGAAATGTTGCATGTGAAGCCTGTACATATGTTTTTGCCATTTCTTCAGACAAAGACTTGACGGCTGATACTGTTGTCCGTGTTTCTGCTTCAATGCTGCGTTGCTGCGTTGGGGTGTGTGTGTTTCCAATTTGCAGAAAGGGCCGTGTAACACCCCCTATCGTTTGTGGATGAAATCGTTCTCAGCACGCGCCCGGAGTCCAAAAATATTGACTTTGCTCCTGACACCTGCTGCATCTCGAATCCCAAAGCGAAAAGCATCCGCAGACAAGCTAGCGCAAGAAATGCCTTCAACTAAAAGTATAGTTTGTTTGCGAAGGGCGCGCGAGAAAGGCCAAATGATGTCATTTGCACTTTCGAGTATGTGGAGCTAGGCCTTTCCAGTCTTATTTGTCCGTCCAGACAGAGAGTTTCGGGGTTTCTGGCTTGGTGGAGGTCACTTGCGGGAGAGTGGACTGGACAGGATGGTTTCCAAGAGGGCACCAAAGACTTCCTCGCCATGCTGGACAGCCGCCTCACCGGGGCCGGAGAGGACGAACCGCTCGCGGTTCGCGGTGGGTTCCGGCGGAACCGCTGGGGGTTTTGGCTTGGGCTGTGAACTGCGGTTGGCATTCTTGTGGAAGCCAGTGGGACAATATAATCAGTGGATCACACATATGTACCCAAAATGGGAACCCTGGTAATTAAATGGAAGCATGGATTAAACTTGTGGTCCCATGGTGGTTTGATTTTGACCCACAGCAATAATATGTACCCGGGGAAAACCATACATATATAAGAACATGGACCACTTGGGCGACTAGCAGTATGCATTCTCAAGTGACACGGTGATGTGGCCACACTTGACCAGGGGCCGTCATTTTATACAGCATGACTTGGGCTGTCCATTTCACTTCCAAGAGAGGCATTCTGGAAGGTATTGACACCCCACTTTGCGCAAGTCCAAGAGGGTCGTGCGTCGAGCATCAGCAGTCTGTGTGAAATGCGCCGCTTGGGGCTTTGGCTTTGGCCAGACCAGGATGAAGAGGACGAGGAGGATGAGGAGGAGGATGATGAGGAGGGTGATGACGAAGAGGGCCTGGGACTGATTCAACAGAAGTGGCAGCAACTGTTTGCAACTTTTGATGCTTGCTTGCTGTGTGTTTGCTGTGTGGCCATGGGTCCAAATCCCGCCCCAGTGAACATCCCAATCCCCACTAAAATAGAATGGGTGGTGCACCTACCCCAAAATGGTATCACCAGTTTTGAGAATGGGTGGTGCACCTACCCCAAAATGGTATCACCAGTTTTGACCCACAGCCATAAACCACTCACGTAAGTAATCAAGACACGCTCAGGCGACGACGACGAACCAGCGCCAGACGATGACGACAGCAAACCAAGGCCTGCAGAACTGCTGTGGGAGGTCGAAGATCCGAATGAAGCAGAGATTGGTGAAGGCTAACGATAGGGTTGCAAGAAGGTGGCGCTGTCAAAGCACAGCAGACTTTTCCCACTTCTCCTCTTGGTTGCCCGTTTGTCTTTGCTCCAAATCCTTTGACCTTTGCAGGTTTCTTGGCAGTCCTGAGAAAGCTGCCAGAACAGTTGCGATTGCCATGTTGTCTGTTGAAGCTTGACTGTGCGTTCCTTCTACCAAAGTTGGAGTTGAGCACCAGACCGTGTCTTTTTTTGTGTGTGTTTTTTTTGGTGGGTACCCCTTTGGGGGTTGTTAAATAGGGAGCCGAAGAGGACCAACCAAGCGTTGGGGGCTCCCATTTGAAGACAGCCCCGTCTCAGCGGCTGAGAACGCCTCCCGGTGCTAGGAAGGAGGCAAAGCCCAAAGAGCGGCGTGCAGAGTTTGAGATGGCGGCGGTCCTGGGCTGGGCTCTCGGCGGGAGTCGACGTGGCCGGGTTCGGGGAGAAGCCTGGAAAAAACTGTTTTTTTGTTGATTTTTCGTTGGGGAAGAGCCAGGTGGGTCTGGGGTCAACATGAAACCAGGATATAGATCGCCGGTTGCGCCTGGTCCATTTGCCCTTCCGTGGCGGGTTTTGCGGAAAGAGCCAAGGGGTTGACAACCGAAATCTTCCCGACAAAGAAAGGCCCGTGGGTAACTGATCCCATGCGAGCGTCGAATCCTTTTTGGCGGTCTTTTCAATGGTCATGCCATGTTCATGGGTCCTTTTGATCAACCCCCAAGTCTTCTGTGGACGTTTCATGTTGTCATTTTGGTGCATTTAACCTTCCAGCATGAAAAGCGAGTGGCGGGCTGTTGAAGTACATACTCCATGACCAGACATCCAAAATTCCGTCGATGTGACGAGATCAAAAAGGGCAAGAGATTCGGCTATGGATTTTGGGAGTTGGAACGCTTTTATCCCCACCTAGTGGGTGTCCACGAATGCGTCCCTAATTAAAATTCAGGCCCATTCAAAGATGTTTCTTGGGGACCTTCGTGTTTGTTGTGAACGGCTTGTTTGAGCGGTCGCTCAAAACATTTGGCCGTGGGTCAACACCAATGGTACCATTTTGGGGTAGGTGCGCCACCCATTTTAGCCAATTTTAGTGGTTGGATTGGGATGTTCTCTGGGGGGTAACCGGGATTTGGACCCATGGCCATTAGGGGCGATCGCTCGTTGTTTTCCAGTTGGGACGAGGCTGGGACCTCGGCTCATGACTCAGGGGATGTCAAGGACATGGCGTGTGGGATGCCATGGAGCTGAGGCCGCGACAGCCGGAGGCTCCTGGAAGGCCTCCTCGAAACCCCGGCCAACGCGGGGGGGCCAAAACGACGCCGGGCAGCAGACGTGGCTGTGTGGTCACTGCCCCAATGCTTTTTGCAGGCTCCGGAAAAAGCATGCGGCCCCATCTTACAACCTCTTTTTGGTCAGCAGCATGGAGAAATTGGCATGCGTCAACTGGCACGACCTTAGGTGCCGTTCATCTCTGGCACTGGCGAGGCGCCATGGGTGAAACAAAATGAGTGCTGTGCGGCTCGTGGCTGATGCATTAGCTGGCCTCCCGTGCTCTTGTGCTCACAAACAAGTTGTCAGTTTAGCAGAAGTGTCAAGCGCACAGATCAACGCAGAGACGGAGAGACTCCTCTAACATCCAAAGCGTACCCCAGCTTTGCGCAAGCCTTGGTTTGCCAGGGTCTGCTTCAGATTCTCCGGGGAGCGCGGCTGCCGAGACCCAAGAGTTCAGCGAATGCTGTGTCAGAATTGCTGTTGCTCGGTTTGCACTGCCATTGAATTCACGACAGTAGATAGTGTCCGGGGCAATTTTTAGCTTAAGGCATTGGATAAGGCCCTCGTTGGAAGTGCGAACAAGGCTTGGTACCACCAGCCTGCGACCTTGCACCCGTGAATTTATGCAGCTGCAACATTATTAGCTTTGGTTTGTGTCATCCGCCAGCTTTCCTTTTTTGTGGGGAACCGGGCAAGCAGCTTTCCATGCAGGACAAGCTCTAAATCAACACACGGACGGCCTGAAAAGAACCGAACAGAAAGCCGAGCAAATCAGACAGCCGAAGCCACCATGAACACCCAGGCCCGGGCTACTGGCGTGTGGGTCCAAGAAGGAGCTCTGAGTTTCACCCCTTGAGCTCGAGCAAGCAGTACCAAAATGGCTGTGGTTGTCAAAACCGTTTTGGGATCCCATTCTGGGGGATTGGTGAATTCACCACACATTTTAGGACCTATTTTAGTGGTTGGATTGGGATGTTCGCTGGGGGTACGATTTGGATTTTGACCCATGAACAAACTCTGGCCTCCAATCAAGTTGTCAGGCGTTTTAAAGGGAACAGCTCTTGGCGCATGGCCTTTTTAGGGGCTCTTCTCCTTTCCCAGCAACCTGCAAGGATGTTACGAAACCAGGATTCTTTTTTCACGCCGGCGTGCCTCACATGAAGTCGCAAGTCTACTGCTTGTTCTTGATCGGCCATTGCTCCATGGCGAGGATATGGTCTCACCCGGTCTTCAGGGGTTGACGGTCAAGTCAGATGTCTGCCCCAAACACTTGTCCAGAGAAGGGTTGTTCGTGTGCGCGTTGCTTGTGGCAGGCCGTCGTTTCACTTGCTGGGAGCTAATTGCCTCGGCCAGTTTGCACCTTCGAAAAGTGAGCCGCGCTGTTTCTCGAGAAGAGAAGCATTCCATGACAGGATGTGAGCAGAGGTGTGGGCATAGAGAACTCAGGATTGCAGCTCCCTCCAAGAAGGCATACGCACATGCACCAAAGATGGCCACAGAAACCCCTAAACCACCATGCCCACGCAGGCATCCTTCTTTGAATTGTGCAAGGGAACACGCTGCCTCAAGCAATTTCAGGGCTGTGGAGCCGTGCATTGTAGGCACATGGACATGTGACTGCAGCCCCAATCCATCATTTGCTTCAATGTCACTTGTTTTGGATTGCAATGCTTCTTTGAGCTTTCCTCTCGGAACAGCGGCAAGTGAATGGTTTCAACGACTTCGACTTGCTTCAGCTGCCAAGCAAGATATGCTTCCATGTTTAGAGGATAGATCCTAGCCGGCAATTGCAAACAATCACCAGCAAGCGACATATGCCCCCCAGAGCGCTGCAGCGCTTTGCGCACAAAACACGTGACTTGCATGGCCGAGAATGCTTGACAGAAATGCCTTGCTGTTCATCGGCCTCCAGTTCCTAGCCTTCAATTAGATACACCTGCATGTTCTGTCGGCTCGTCCGACTTGTGTCGGATTCGCCCTCTTGGCCTTCACGGGCCGCTGTTGGTTTTGCTAGGTTTGGCTCGCGCTTCGCCAACTCCTTCTTGGTAACAGCCTGGATCCCAGGCTTCACTTATGGCTGTGTGTGCCGAAGTGATTTGTGGTTGACACAAGTCGGACACATGTTTTTTATTCTGGCACCCACACATGTATGCTCGGTGGAATTTTGTGAGTGAACGGTTGAAACAGTTTCAAGATGGGCAATCAGTGATGCGTCAAAGTTCGGGAGTCTCCCACCGCTTCACGAGTTGCGACTCTCAGCAAACCCGGAAAGCAGGCAGTGATTCGGAGCAAGAGGGATGTGCAGACGCTTGCACGACGTGTTGGGGTGCACTTGCAGTTGCCTGCTGAGAGCAAACACCGACCTCACATGCAAAGTAAGGCTGCAAGATATGAGCTGCTTGAAGCTGGGAGCCCCAGGACTTGCGGACTGAGATTCATGTTGACAGGGAGACAGGGAGATGCCCCCGAGATGCCCCCCCCCAACCCGTTTCATTGCATCAGTCAGAGTGACCCAAGAGCCATGTGGCAGCTCGCAGCTCAGGCTGGAGGCATTATGCAGTTTGCTGGAGCTCAAGTTGCAACCAACGTCGCTCGCATGATTGCGCCAATCTCAGAAAACGAGGGACTGATGTCAATGATCAGTTGGCGCTTGATGCAACGAGCAGCCAAAGGGGGCAGACGAGAATGTTTGGCCTTGCGAGCTGGGCTTGCTTGAGTCCACTTCCAAGTGATTCTGTTTAGGGTCTTAGTTTGGAATAGTGAAGCACTGCAGGGACTGGCTTTGAAGATTTCCCTGCAAACGCTGGCAGACCATGCTTGCAAGGTTGCATTGATGAGGGTGCCACCATACCATGTTGTGCAGACCAGCCGAAACGGTCAAACCAGGCGCATCCGTGTGCCTACCAGGGACACACACAATTAGGCACTCAGATCCGTGGCAACAACCTATGGCAGATCCGTGGCAGAATCAGCCGGCGCCAGCGGCGCAACTTGACATCGGCACCTGAGCGTCTGCCTCCGGGTCGTTCGATTGAACGGGGAGCTGCTGGAAGTGCCTCTCACACTGAAGGAGGCGAAGGAGATTGCGGGCAGCAGAGACTTGAAGCAATGTCTTGCCAAGCGAGGTGCTACAAACAACTTGGGCAGTGATGGAATGACCTTCATGATTCTATGGATTCGGCACAAATCCACAGGGAGACTGGCCTGGAGATGGATGACAAGCATCAGGTCAACTGGGAGTGGCTGGAGCAAGCTTCCCTTAGTATGTCGTTGTTCACGTGGACGTGATGTCGAGTGCTTTGGAAGATCTCCCGCCTGCTGAGTACTTGATGTTCGCTTGCGAAGACTTGGACTGCTTGCTAGATTTAAAGATCCTGCTTCCCTGTGTCCTCCAGATTTGGAAACAAAGAGGCCAAGCCTTTTGCAAGCATGCCTTCGCCAGTTGGACTTCTGCCATGCTGAGTCTTCTATCTGAGGAGGTCTCGCTTCTTCTTGCAATGGAACAAGCAGACGACTTGCTTCTTGCTGAGGATCCCCATGCCTTCGAACGCGGGGAGATGATGAGGGCTTGGATGACCTGGAGGATTTTCTTCACCGAACATTCACTCGAATGACCATAGGACTCCTGAAGAAACTGGATGCCCGAACAGGGATGCTTGGGCGAGAAGATGAGAGAGAAGATGAGAAGCGATGTGTGGAAACTTGTGCAGGGACATCCTCTCGTCCAGCACTCCCGGATTCATTGTGAGAACGGACGTCTCCGATTCGGTCTTGGAGCAGAGTTGGTCATGGCGCTGATGGACAAAGGCCAACACCAAGATGGTGTTGGGCGGGTATCTGGGGTTCGTGGCGTGACAAACCTCCTGCAGTACATGGCGCTGGATCAAAAAACTGGTACAAGAATGGAACCCTGGTAAGTGGAAGCATGAACCAAAACCTGCGTAACCCCTCCTGTTTAATTTTGAGCCACGCCCACATCATGGCGCCGGTGGTACACCACCCAGCCGACTGGAAGTTTCAAGAGATGGCAAGAGCGCAGCTTCGCGCCGTCCTTGCGGAAGGATTTAGCCTGCAAGAGTTGTGCTACCAAAACGCGCATGGCATAGCTCTTCTTTCTGTCAGAGGGATTGGACTCCGGTACATGATGCGATCAAAGAGCAGATGGAAAGAGGAGCCAGGGAATTCCAAGCCTGCTTGCCTTGATTGAACTGGCAAGATCCCTGCGAGCAAGTTTGGGTGGTGAAGTTGATTCACGTGAATCGCTTGCAGCTTTTCGAGAGCAAATGTGGCAGCAAGCCGCAGCCATTCGGGAAGAGTGGTCGAGGATGGGCTGGAGGTTTGCTGCAGAACGGACAGATCTCAGAGGTGTTGACTTGGCACTTCCAGACGATCGGCAGGGCATCATCGGGCGTGAGTCCAGGATTTGAAAGTTGTGTCGGAATGCTTTTCAGTGCAAACAGCTCGCTGGGAACTTCCCATTTTGTCCAAACGGGCGCGTGGTTGAGCACTGCGAAGTCTTCTCGGAATTGCCGTTTACGGCCCGGAATTGCCTGAACAGAGTTCGTGGCGTGTACAGCGAACGGCGGAGAATGCGTGGGAGAACTTTGCTCACTTGGGTGGTCAACATAAACCCACCGGACCGCAGGTTTTGGTCTTTGGTTCCATTTCTCAGGGCTCGCTCCATTTTGGGGTTACCCCCTTTTTTGAGACCACCAAAGGAAAAAATCATTTGGGCTAAAGCCAGTCACAAGGCCATGCCAAAACCCAATGAATGAAGTGCTCACTTTGCTAACTTTGCTCCTCTTGCGTGAAGTGCTAGGAGCTGCGGCCGCGGTTTGCCGCCGGTGCATGCCCAGGTTTCGCAGATCGCGGGCCTGCTGACGGACAACTTCGCCCTGAAGCGGATGTATGTCGCGTCCGAGGCGATGGGAAGAGCTTTTGAATGCGATAGGGTGGGGAATGACCGAGTCGTCTTGGGAATAAATGTGGGGATTCTCTAGGGAGAAAATCGGTTGGGTGGTTTGGTTTTGGGTTATTCCCTTTCTCATTTCCTGAGAACCAGCCATGTTTTCTTCAATTGGTTCCCCGTGGCTGGGAATGGAGAAACCTGATGCTCGCAGGCCTGCAACCTTGTCGCGACCCTAACTTGGCACTGGGCCCGTTGCCGTTGAATGTTGGTGCCTTTGAATCCTATTAGGTCTTGGCGCTGGCTATGCTGGGGTGCGGTCATCGCCATGGCGGCATGCTCTTTGTCCTGAACGTAGGCACGGAGTTGGCATGGATTGATCAGTTGTGCGAGTGTGTGATGACCAACCAGCCCGCGCCCCTTTGCGCGCGTGAGAGAGAGAGAGAGAGAGAGTTGTGTGCACACGTGCAGCTTCCCCGGTCGTAAGTTGTGATGCTTCCAAGCCAAGCCAGCCAGCCAGCCGGATCCAATGGAACAGTTTAAGTGAGCCAGGCTTATGACAGAACAATTGGGTTTTGTTGCACAACTCATTTCAACAAGTCCCGGGCAATCATCCAAACTTATGTACAACAGCAGCAGTTCTTCGTCTTCAGCAGTCAATACTGATCACGATTCACAGCTGTGAAGCAAAATATGGCCTACATTAACTTGAAAGCTGGTTGCAGAGCTGATGGTCTTAAAACACCAGACAGGTTTCACTGCACATTAGCATTGCAAACCCAAGCTTGCATAGCCAAGCAAACTGGAAATGGGACAATCACATTGGTTCTCCATTGTGACGTCCAGGTCTCAATTGAATTCTCCGGACTTCAATGAAGGTGTCCAGCACAAGATGCGGATAGCTGGTGTCACAAGTGTATTCACCGGGAAGTTGGAGCGTCATTGTGACCTCCAGGCCTCATTTGATTTCTCCGGACGTCAATAAAGGTGGCCTGCGCCTGCACCAGCTTGCAGCTGGCCAGGCTTGGGCTTGTTGTTTGCCTTCTCCCAGCCCGTGACCAAGTCCATGCCCCCTGCTGTGGCAGCCAGGGAGGAGAGGAAGCCCATGGAGTGTGCGAGGTGAGGTTTGAGGTGTGTAGTGTCCACTTGTTGACCTGAAGGTGGATAATGATGAATGATGTTGAACCGGACTTTTTGGGCGGACAACATGTGAATGATTTTGAACCGGACCTTTTTTTGGCAATTGCTGAAATTGCTGAGAGGACCTTGCCGTCATCAACGGTTGGGACTTGACCTGTGACAAGGCCGCGCTTGCTTTTCCATTAGGGCACCTGTTCTGTTGTTGGCTGCAGTTAGTTCTGCACAACATTCCCTTTCCGGCAGGTTGGTCGCTATTTAGCGCCCTTCGCCTATGCAGTCGTTTCCTCCAGCCATGGCTTCAACTTTGCCGTAGTTTTGAGCGCGAGCCTCGAGCGAGCCAGTGATTTTTGCCTTGTGTCAAGCAATAGAAGGAACACGTACATCATTGCGGTATTACCATGAGACATTGGCCAAGATCCAGTACACTTGCACCGGGCTTGGCGGGCTATCCCTGTAATGGTCCTGCTATTTGCACGCGGGCGTGGGGGGTGGGCGCTATATGAAACCTGGCCTGCACACAAACTGAAGTTGTTCGGAGGAAAGCGCGGCCTGAATTGCTGCAAGAATACAACACTGCAAAGGCAACTCCCAGCAGAAAGCAACAAGTCTTGAAGCTTTCCGGTCCAGCTGAGCGCAGCTTCACAGCGCATCTTTTCCAATCTTTGGCGCATGATCCGTGAAAGCTTCGCGAAAGTTGCTGCCCTGGCAGTTTCCGGGCCCTGTGTTTCGCACGACTTGCAAGCTGCTGCAGCTCTTCTACCCGAGAGGGATGGCTGCTTGCTTGGAGTGCTTGTGGTGAATGTTAAGGGGTTCGGCGAGCGTGCCCAAGGAGGTTGTGGCCATTGTTTGGGCTCTGGGGTTTTGTCAAGATAGCATTGCCATCGCAATCAGGAAGTAAGCGCGCATTCAGGCTGCTTTATGTATGCCATCCTGGCGATTCTTCGCACCCTGGTCCAAGTGGCACCCTCGGATGTGGTTCTGACAGCCAGACATCTTCCCGCCTCGTTGATTTTTGCGCCTTCACATTGGAATCAGGTGACGGAGCCAACGGCCCGAAAGAGCTCCAAAGGTAGAGCGACCGAGCTGGCCTCAACGGTTCCAGCTGCTCAATCCTGTAATCTGACCCGATTGTTTCTGCTGTATTTCAAGATGTGCCCCCCTGCGTGTCTCGCGGAAAGAAGTTTTCCGCTTGTTGCGGGCAGATCCCAGAGTCAGATGAGTCTTAGGTCCGTCAAAAGCTTGGTGGCCTTCTGCAACAGGCTCAACGGTTGCTGACAATGTGACAGTTGCGAGATGTGTAAATCACAGCTTTCCATGGGCTTGGATTGATGGAACCTTCTTTGCCAGATCCTGGATGGCATCATGTCCTTGCGAAGGGATGCCGTCCTCCGACTGCTGATTCTCAACACTCTTGCCCAGCACTAAGGTCTTTGACTCTATGATTGACTTGGACTATGTAAGACGTGGGTGATCCAAGAAGTCGATGTCGAAATAGAACATCATATGTTGGATGGTTTTGTTTTGGGTCGCGGGATATAGGTACATGTGGTCATGCCTGATTGGTTTGATCTCAGGCCACAAATGCGGCGCACCAAGATCTATGCCAGTGCATATTTGCAGGGTGTCATTCTGTGCTGGCATGATGTGCGTGTGTGTACGGGCGCTTCATATGGATTCTCGTCACTGTTCCTGCTTTCAGCTGAGAGTCATCGGATCTAAGGTTTTTCTGTACCCCTTGAACTCTGTGCACTTCCCGGTGCTCTTCAAGCAGATCTGCTGGCCTGTTCAAGATCTCTGGTATTGCAATGTAGGCCCAATGTGAGAAACATGACGATGTGATACTGTATGACATGCAAGAACAGTGCCCAGAGCTCTCATTCCCCTGGCAATCAGCGGCATGGGACGACTTGAGTGTCCGAACTCGTCAGCAGGCAAGCATGTTCCCGCGAGGACACGGAACTGGAAGGATCATGTTTCTGGAACCCGTCGTTGACCATTTTGCAGCATCTCGCGCGTGGCAACAGCTCGGCATGAAATGCACTTGGACATTTGCTTGCTGGTGCTCAGGGAATGAGGGAATGACCCTTACAAACCGTCCCTTGTGGTTTCCTTTAAGGGGACCAAAGCCTGGTTTCATTCCCACATTCCCTACTGATCGCACCAGCAAGTTTGAGGCTGCGCATTGGTAGATCGCAGCTTGGCAGAAGGTGTGGCGCGATCGGCCGGCCAGGGTGGCGGAGCGCGTTGAGCGGCCGGCCGCAGAGCTCACTGCCTGCGGCCCTGGGGAGTCAGGTTCTAGGCAAACTCCGGGCTTGGTCTTAGCAAAAATTGGGTACAGCCCTGCCCACAGAACAGTATTCAGGAATTCAAGCTTCGCAGGTTTTCTTTCTAAGCATGGCATTTTTGGGTCTCAACGGGTGCTCCGGAACATATTTGTCTCTACCCCAAGATGCGTTAATGATGTGCTTGTTTGGGCAATTGGCAAACACCATAGTCATGCCCGAAGAGGGAAGAAAGCATCCTGGGCTGATTCTTAATTGTGAGTCCGGCACAATGCCGGCAATTGGTGAAGAACTGGTCATGGACCCCTAGGGGCTATCTGGTGTATGTGTGTGCTATCCCTGGAGCATATAAACCAAGGATAAACCCTTCCTCCCATAGCCCCCTTGGCGCTTGGGGGTCCATGGACTGGGCAATGCATTCCTCTGTCTACCCTTCGCCCCTCTGCCCTGGCCTTGTGCAATGCTTCACCGGCTCTGAGGCAGTTGATCACCTGCTGAACGGTGTGATGCTCGCCTTAGACATCAAGAAGCATCGCTGGCTTGTATTGCGGATTGACCGGCAGGTCTGAAAGTGTCAACTCAGACATGGCCATGGGTCATAACCTATGCCTTCATTTTGGGGCAGATGAACACCCGTGTACCACCTATTTTGATGTTCACCCGGAATACAGGGTTTTGACCACATGGGCCTCTGGTGGCAAAATCAATGATAGATCTGGCAGCAGTCACCAGTTTTGCCATTCTAGACCGGCCCGCAAGCAGGGCCGCTGGTACTCTTCATTGACAGGAAGGACATGTGGAGGAACTACAGCGCGCTGGTATCCTTGGGCGGAGTCGCAGCAGTCTCAATCCAACAGCATCATACGTGATTTGCATATTTGCTAGGCAGATAGCCGTAAAGCTACATTTTCTGAAATTGCACGGGGTGAATACTTAGGCTGGACAGGTGCAGGACAACTAACCAAGTATGCATGAGCCGAGCAGTACATCAGACAGATCGTCACTCATTGCTGGGGTTGCCATCGCCCAAAGCTGATGGAAGCGCACTGCGGAACAGTGTCCAATTACCCATCATGCCATTGTCATGGCTCATCAACACTTGCGCCCACTCAGGCAGGACCATTCCTGTCCAATGCCTTGCCCGGCTCCCAGTGTGTGCTGCTTGTGCTCTTTGTCGGTGCTAGGAATTTGTTTGTTTGGGATGCAGGCATAGACTCCAAAGTTGCCAACGCTTGGCTTGAAGCCCGCCAAAGCAGACCGACTGCGATGTGTGATTCAATTCATTGTCCTGTTCGCCTTGGCCGCGCTGGTCAGTGAGAGACGATCATCCGGTGCCGGTTCGCGGCTCAGGATCTACATGCTGGAGTCGCACTCTTCAACTCGCCTGGTATGCCGGCTGTGGGCCGCTGCCTTGGTATCGGGTGGTGGGAAAGCAAGCAGCGAAGCGGCACATGCGGCACATGCGGCGCCGAGCGGCACATTTCCACTGATGAATTTGTGCTTCTCTTCAGGTAGGTGTCAACTTCGGCATTGTCGGGCAGATTGTCACCATGGCCTTGCTTGCTGTCATTGTGCCAGAGTCTCATGGACAACATCTTGAGGTCGAAAGATAGATCAGAATCACCCAAGCGAAACGGTGCCTTTTGAAGCTAAGCAATTGTCGCGCTGGCAGTTGTGACAGGGCAACTTAATCTCTGACGACTTCAGCTGCGGCCGAAGCTAGTAAGTTTTTCGGTCGATGTGACAGCCCTTGTATCTGAGTCCGGCTTGGGTTTGCGCTGGGTTTCAATCCTTCCCGAAACGAAGCTGAATGCATTTCTCTTTCCTTTCGTGGCCTTCTGCTTGTAGCCAAGGAGTTTCAGTGATGTGCTGGGCGCTGGCTGGCTGGTTTTCAACCTAGCGACAGCCTCAAACTGGCATGATGTCAGCTTGATTGAAGCCACTGATAGGTTGGTGCTGTTGAACTCATTTCAAGTCTTCCTGTAATTCTTTGCAATGGTTGCAGGATTTTGTTGGCAGGGAAGCGGAGGAACGCCTGCATCAGGGAAGGCTGTCATGCTCCCGAGGTTAGCGCGTGGATTGTAACTATCTCGGTGAACAATATTGCTTGAGCCTCAGCTTTGTGTTGGTATGAGTGGCAGGGAGGTTGCAGCAACTGAGTAACTGATGCAAACCTTTACATGATAGAAATAAGGTAGAGTGCTTCAAGCACCGCCATTCAGAGAAGTTAAACCCGTAGCCTTTTGGCTCAAGGTCTGGTTCAAGGCCTGGCCCCGGAGCTCGATTAGTTTCAAGCTCTTGGCTAGGATGTTGGGCATCCAGTCAAGAAGTGCGAGCAGGCATCCACCATTTCGGGGGGTGGACAGCCAGTCAATGCCGTTTGCCTGACGAACAAGGCCTGCGACTCGAGGGTGTCAGAGCCGCTGGTCATGCGAGGGGCGAGGTCTGCCCTGCGCATCGATGCGGCTAGTCGGAACCAACAAATCCTTCGCCGGGACCTGCCGGCGGTAACTTCGGCTCCTAGGCGCGGAAGATGTCCAGGGGCCTTGAAAGATGGCCTTGACATGATCTGTGGCGGGATGCCGAGGCAGACCTTGAATAGAGTCTATTTTGAGCTCCGACATCGTGTGAAACTCATCAGTTGCCAAGGGCCGGGCACATTGGAGCTGGACATCCTCAACGCATACTGGCTGGCATTCGATTTCCATGGCTCGTTTCCTCTGGAGACTGAAACAGTGTTTCTGTGCCAATTGTGGATTGCGGCGGAAGCCAAGCGCAGGGTGCCAACCCCAAGAGTCTCTTGGAAAGGCTATGTTGCCCACTTTGCGGGCTATGACCAGGATCCCTGGAAGCCTTTCTATGATTGGTGCAGCTCCAAAACAGGAGCCAACGTGACCGGACATTGAGGTGTCTAGACAAGGTCCCTACTCAGTCTGAGGCTGTACTCAGTCGGCTGTGCTGTCTGAGACGCTGCTTGACTGTGCTCTCTGAGCAGCATGAAGTGCCGGCTCCATCAGAAGCGAGGTGCAAGATGCCAGCAATGCAGTGATGGAGATGCTTTGACAGCGTGCTCGCGTGCTCCAGACAATCACGGAGGATCGCCGCATTGACTTGTTGGAGTTCCCGACTTTCCTTCGTAACTGTCGAAGATCGTGCCCGTGAAGATGGTTGCGATGACTGGAGCGGCGGGCCGAGCTACTATGCTCCGACGCAGCCCACCCAGCAGATGCTTGGGAAGGTCACGCCCAAGGCAAACGGTCGCTTCAAGCTCCGTTGCAAGCATCACACGCGGCTCAATGCGCGTGCCTCATGTACAACCGAGTAGGGTAGAGACGCCGCACCTGGCGACAGCCCTCAGGATAAAAGCAATTTCTGGCGTGTGAGATTTTCGAGCCACTATGGGCATGACTAGGTGCAGATCATCAGCAGATTGACTCAGGTCACTACATACTTCAACTCCATCTCGCAAGAGCGGCTTCAGCACAACGAGCGGGGCCGTTTCATTGCCCAGCTCTCAAATCCCTGGCTGAAGGGCAGCGGAAATGCAGCAAGTGACTTGTTTGATTGCAATTGGTCATTTCGGGAAACATGGGCAAGATCCTGAACTGCTACTTGAGATGGCACAAGCTGCACTATTACATGATATGTGGGGTTGGGCGATTGTAATCCCAGGCAGAGTTGCTCAGTGCTGGCCAACGTAAGGGGGCGGGAAGACCTAGTTGCAACTATGTTCAGAGCCTTACAACAACAGGCCAACCACGCAGCGGATAGAAACCTCATGTTCAAAGCCTGCGCCGAGCTGGCAGAGGCCAACATTATGACCATTTTCACGCTGGGCAGCTCTGGCGGCACCCTGCTCTTCGGCTGGGCAGCGGCCCCAGACCCCGCCCCATCCCCCGGGGTTTGGGAGTCGATTTTGAGCAGTCCGATGATGGTTGACGGTTGCCTTTTGGGCGAGAAGCCAACAGAGGTCCATAAGAACTCAGAAGGGAGAGCTACATGGGGCCCTTTTCTGGCTTTCAAGGGACAAAAAAACAGGAAAAACCACAATAGTTGGGGATCGGTCCCATAGAAAAGAGAGACCCAAATGCACTTTGCAGATGCCCCAGGTCTTGTCAGCCACGGGTGGTGTCTCTGGCTCTGTCGAAGGCTTAGAGCCGCCGATCTTTCCATGCCCGGCTCCACGAGTTTCTTGCACTCATCCTGTAGCTTCATCAGTTTCATCTTCGCGTGATATACAAGAAGACACCGAGTTGTTTGTTGTTTTTGCTCACGGCGACGTTAGACACGCGGGAGGATCCTTTGTTTTTTCATGTTCATGACTTCTTCACAAACAAGCTGACGTAGCACGCTTGACTTCGATTCATATTTACCGCCAGTGGCAGGTCGCGTTTACCGCCACCCGCGCAAGAGCGCTCGTAGCACGCTTGACTACGATTTATATTTACCGCCAGTGGCAGGTCGCGTTTACCAACACCCGCGCAAGAGCGCTCGCAGCGCGCTTGACTACGATTTATAGTTTCCGCCAGTGGCAGGTCGCGTTGAGTGTCACCTTCGCAAGAGCGCTCGTAGCACTCTTGACTTCGAGTCATATTTTCCGTAAGTGGCAGGCCGCGTTTACCGCCAACAGCTGCGCCGTAAATCCTAAACCTTAAACCCCAAACCCTGAACACAAAACCAGCCAAATGATAAGCACGCCCGCTCAAGTGCGCCCGCACAGCACTGCACACACGCCAGCCAAATGATAAGCACACCCGCTCAAGTGCACCCGCACAGCGCTGCACACACGCCAGCCAAATGAGAAGCACACCCGCTCAAGTGCACCCGCACAGCCCTCCACACACGCCAGCCAAATGAGAACCTTAAACCCCAAACCCTGAACACAAAACCAGCCAAATGAGAAGCACACCCGCTCAAGTGCACCCGCACAGCACTGCCGCACGCCAGCCAAATGATAAGCACACCCGCTCAAGTGCGCGCGCGCAGCGCTGCACACGCGCCAGCCAAATGAGAAGCACACCCGCTCAAGTGCACCCGCACAGCGCTGCACACACGCCAGCCAAATGAGAACCTTAAGCCCCAAACCCTGAACACAAAACCAGCCAAATGAGAAGCACACCCGCTCAAGTGCACCCGCACAGCACTGCCACACGCCAGCCAAATGATAAGCACACCCGCTCAAGTGCACCCGCGCAGCGCTGCACACACGCCAGCCAAATGAGAAGCACACCCGCTCAGTGCACCCGCACAGCACTGCACACACGCCAGCCAAATGAGAACCTTAAACCCCAAACCCTGAACACAAAACCAGCCAAATGATAAGCACACCCGCTCAAGTGCACCCGCGCAGCGCTGCACACACGCCAGCCAAATGATAAGCACACCCGCTCAAGTGCACCCGCGCAGCACTGCACACACGCCAGCCAAATGATAGGCACACTCGCTCAAGTGCACCCGCACAGCACTGCGCACACGCCAGCCAAATGATAAGCACACCCGCTCAAGTGCACCCGCGCAGCACTGCACACACGCCAGACACCCGCTCAAGTGCACCCGCGCAGCGCTGCACACACGCCAGCCAAATGATAAGCACACCGGGTGCTCAAGTGCACCCGCACAGCACTGCACACACGCCAGCCAAATGATAAGCGCACCCGCTCAAGTGCACCCGCGCAGCGCTGCACACACGCCAGCCAAATGATAAGGACACCCGCTCAAGTGCACCCGCGCCAGCCAAATGAGAAGCACACCCGCTCAAGTGCACCCGCGCAGCACTGCACACACGCCAGCCAAATGAGAACCTTAAGCCCCAAACCCTGAACACACAACCAGCCAAATGAGAGGCACACCCGCTCAAGTGCACCCGCACAGCACTGCCACACGCCAGCCAAATGATAAGCACACCCGCTCAAGTGCACCCGCGCAGCGCTGCACACACGCCAGCCAAATGATAAGCACACCCGCTCAAGTGCACCCGCGCAGCGCTGCACACACGCCAGCCAAATGATAAGCACACCGCTCAAGTGCACCCGCACAGCACTGCACACACGCCAGCCAAATGATAAGCACACCCGCTCAAGTGCACCCGCGCAGCGCTGCACACACGCCAGCCAAATGCAAAGTGAAGCACTGCACACAGCCAAATGATAAGCTCAAGTGCACCCGCGCAGCATACACGCCAGCCAAATGATAAGCACCGCTCAAGTGCACCCGCACAGCACTGCACACACGCCAGCCAAATGATAAGCACACCCGCTCAAGTGCACCCGCGCAGCACTGCACACACCCCAGCCAAATGATAAGCACACCCGCTCAAGTGCACCCGCGCAGCGCTGCGCACACGCCAGCCAAATGATAAGAACCCCCGCTCAAGTGCACCCGCGCAGCACTGCACACACGCCAGCCAAATGATAAGCACACCCTCCAAGTGCACCCGCGCAGCACTGCACGCACGCCAGCCAAATGATAAGAACACCCGCTCAAGTGCGCCCGAACAGCGCTGCACACACGCCAGCCAAATGATAAGCACACCCGCTCAAGTGCGCCCGCACAGCGCTGCGCACACGCCAGCCAAATGATAAGCACACTCGCTCAAGCGCACCTGTGCAGCGCTGCACACACGCCAGCCAAATGATAAGCACACCCGCTCAAGTGCACCCGCACAGCACTGCACACACGCCAGCCAAATGATAAGCGCGCCCGCTCAAGTGCACCTGCGCAGCACTGCGCACACGCCAGCCAAATGATAAGCGCACCCGCTCAAGTCCACTCGCGCAGCACTGCGCGCACGCCAGCCAAATGATAAGCACACCCGCTCAAGTGCACCCGCGCAGCGCTGCACACACGCCAGCCAAATGATAAGCACACCCGCTCAAGTGCACCCGCACAGCGCTGCACACACGCCAGCCAAATGAGAAGCACACCCGCTCAAGTGCGCCCGTGCAGCGCTGCACACACGCCAGCCAAATGATAAGCACACCCGCTCAAGTGCACCCGCGCAGCACTGCACACACGCCAGCCAAATGATAAGCGCGCCCGCTCAAGTGCACCTGCGCAGCACTGCACCCGCGCCAGCCAAATGAGAAGCACACCCGCTCAAGTGCACCCGCACAGCACTGCACACACGCCAGCCAAATGAGAACCTTAAGCCCCAAACCCTGAGCACAAAACCAGCCAAATGAGAAGCACACCCGCTCAAGTGCACCCGCACAGCACTGCCACTCGCCAGCCAAATGATAAGCGCACCCGCTCAAGTGCACTCGCGCAGCACTGCAGACACGCCAGCCAAATGATAAGCGCACCCAAATGACAAGCACACCTAGATAGATGTTGGGGGATGTGTAAAGAGTTCATGCCCAGCCAGATAAGCACTAAGAGTGCTACGTCTGGCCTGCTGAACCCGCAGGTGTGGCAGTGGGCGTACAGCTTCCAATTCAGATACAATGCTGGACCGGACCTGTGGCCTAAGCTTCCAGAGATCCTCAAAGCAGCAAACCAAGGCAGTGTATGAAAATTGCAACGGCGGCCCGCGAGGCGAACGTCGCCGTGAGCTTGTTTTTGGAGGATCAAACCAAGACGCAGAACACCTCAGAGCTTCTTCCTAGTGACCCTAGTGTTGTTTTTGCTTCTCCGTGGTTTTCTGCTTTCAGTGTTGAGCCGGTTTGCTTTGTAGACAGTATGGTTGTAAACAGAACCATCTAACAAACATGGCTAAAACATATTACATGCATGCTGGAAATGCGACACAACGTTTTCAGAAATACTCAGATCAAAATTGAATGTTGGCCATGACCAGATTCCGGCCAGAGGTTTTGCGCATATACCTCCATGATTTTGCGTCTTTCACATCAGTTTACCACTCATGAAAACCACAACAGGCAGTCTGGCGTTAAACATGTGTATTGACAATGCACAAGTACCATTTGACGCGATTTGAACACACACACAAAGGGTAGATGATTGGGGGCTGACCACGTTATCCGCAGCTGGGCGCTGAATACCTTGGGAGTGATCAGTGAATATAAGGCCTTTTTCAGTATCATTTTGATAATGCGCCTATCAAGCCCCCTCAACCTGACTGCTTCTTGTCAACATGGAGAAGCTGAATCTGAAAGTCCCAACAGCCTGTTGAAGACACACATACAATCCCTGTTGTGTCCTGCGCCTCTTTGGCGGCTTGAACTGGGCTTCAGTGGGCTGGTCATACGGCGCATTCTGATTTTGAGTTGGCACAGTCTATTCTGGGTGATTGGCTTCGAGAAGGACCCGGACTTTGACAAACGTGGCGCTAGCGCGTCCATGCCATGCACCTCGGAAGCTTGAGGTTAACCTGCTGATCTGCGGCCTGGCAGTCAAAATCGCTCTGTTGGTCAGAAGCTTGGATGCGGAAGAGGACAAGCTTTTGTTGGAGACCACACCTCTGTGTTGATATGCTTCGACCCTAAACAACATTTTGGCTTTTGGTTGAGGCTGATCCTTGATACACAGTGCTTGAAATGGACCACAAGTCAAAGCAAGTCGAGCTCAGAAACCAAGGTGTTTGGCCTCACATTGAAACGGGGCTGGGCCATTGGATGCTAAGGTGCTTCTGCGTCGCGAAGGGCAAGGCTCCTTCTCAGGCATCAGTTTGCACACCATTGGTTTGGGAGCTCTGGAATTGTTAAGCCACTTCGTGCGCACCATTTGCCAGAAACGCACTTTTGCAACAGAGCAGAGTGACGCTTGCATTGCAGAGACGTCTAGAAATTCTTCAGAACAGGGAAGGATAGCACAAAGAAGCAACGCCTGTGTGAGCCTCACTCCATGCTTTTCCCGCCTCAACTTTGCAGCACACAACCTTCAAACTTCCGCCTAGTAAGATCCCCTTGCGTTTGGCGCATCCACACCGTCTTTGAGCTAATGGAGCCGTCCGGCACCAAGCGAAAAGCTGCGAGCGATGGCGATGGGAGTGCCAAGCGACCTCGCGGCGGCTTCGCCACGGAGTCCTCCGCAACTGCGCTGGCACAGCGCCTCAAGTCGGACCCGGCGCTGCTGGGGGGCCAGTGCGACGACTTCGCTCGCGCGGCGAGTGGCAAGTGGGCGGAGCTGTGCGGGCTCGGTGACAAGGCCAAGGACGAGTTGTGGTACTGGGAGGCGCGAACAGCTTGTGACAGCTTTTGGGCCACGAACTTCCGAGGCCCACGAAAAAATGGCTGGAGTCTGGAGTCTGGTCCGTGAGCCAAGGGTGGCCATGGGTCAAAACTCCAATCCTCACTAAAATAGGTTCTAAAATGTGTGGTGCACTGAAAACCCCAAAATGCTACCATTGGTTTTGACCCACAGCCAGGGTCACTATGCATGTGTTGCGTGTCCTGTTCAGGGCTACCAGGCCTTAGCTGACGAGGAGCCCAAGCACCAGCTGTTGCGGCAGGTGAAGCAGGATTTTGCGGAGATGGAGGAGCCCTGTGGAGTTGCCGGAATTGCCGTGGGTCTTGGAAGGCCAAAAGGGGGGATTTCACCAGCATGCTTTTAATGTCCACCTGGGATTAGTAAACGGGGTTCCCCCCCCCTCTCCGCCCCGGTATGATGGACACTTAGTATTGATATCTTAGGCTTCCCCCTCCCCCCTCCCCCCCTCAACGATGGGGGCACCTGGAATACTATCTTGGGATCCAGTTCAAGTCAGTTTCCATTTGAGTTAGTATTGGTGGAGCTTCTTTTTGAGATTTGGAGCTGAGTTTACATTTGATTCAATATTGCTGAAGGTTCCTTTTGAGATTTGGAATTGAGCTTCCATTTGATTTTAGTATTGGTGGAGCTTCTTTTTGAGATTTGGAGCTGAGTTTCCATTTGATTTAATATTGCTGAAGGTTCCTTTTGAGATTTGGAATTGAGCTTCCATTTGATTTTAGTATTGCTGGAGCTTCCTTTTGAGATTTGGAATTGAGTTTCCATTTGATTTTAGTATTGCTGGAGCTTCCTTTTGACATTTTTTGAGGGGCCAGGTAACAAGACTTTATTTTAGGGACCCCTGAAATAATGGGGCCTGGAGTGCTACCCCGTTTATGGGTTTGATTGTGGGTAGGTGTTAAACAAGATACGTGTAAGAAAACATGGGTCTGGGAAAGCTGACCATTTTGAATTCGAGGAGCAGGCCCAAATCTAACAACAAGGCTTGAAGCATCGCCAGCATCACCTGAGCTGTCTAATTTTAGCTAGCTAAGAGGCAGTTACACTGGGCAGGTTGTATTTTTCACCTAGGCAACAAGACTTTATTTCAGGGGCTCTTGGAATAATGTCAAATTGGGAGCGGCTGTACTACCTTGTTTGCGGGTTTGATTGCGGACTGCTTTTAAACAAGAGACATGTAAGAAACATGGGTGTGGGAAAGCTGGGCACTTTGGACTTTGGGGAGCTGAAGAACAATGTTATAAAGATCCAAGGGCCAGGTGTTGGCTTGGCTGCCTTTTCTCTTCTTTCTCTCCTTCTGTTTTTTGTTTGTAAATTGTTCATTGTTTTCTTCCAGAAAACATGGGCGGGGGTGGCGGGTGCTTGTGTTTATTTCAGGTGTATTTACTAATCTTTTTGGGCCACCCCCCGTTTGTCTTTATTCCGCGTGCATTCATTAGTCCTATGTGGAAATTATGTGTCACAGAATCGTATTTGTCACGCGATTCTGTGAGCTCCTTGCGGCTTTGTGCTTGAAACAGAGAGAACTCTTTTTGTGGGACGAGTTTCATGCAACTGTGACACGTAGTCGATCAACCCACCCACCCAACCACCCAACCAACCCACCCAAAACGGGGCAGAAAAAGTCCGTCATCTCCAGCCACGGGCCATGGGGCCATGCGAGGAGACGCTGCTGGAACTAGGCGCCTCGAAGGAGGAGGCGAAGAAGGCCTTGTGCCCGCAGGCGGTGGAGAGCCTCTGCGAGGTGCTGCTGCAGCTCTTGGATCTGCGTCAAAGCCAAGGCCGCGAGCACCGCGAAGCGCGGCAAGGGGGAAACCGGGAACCGGAGCCGCAGATTTCACCGCAGTCATGGCAACGGAAACGGGAACCCCAGATTTGGCGACGGGGTTGCAAGGCAAAGGGACGCTCGGGAAGAGAATTCCGTTTGATTGCAACAGGGAAAAGGCAAGGGGAAGCTCGGGACTTGAATTGCCACTTGATTTGATTGGTCTTGGGTCTGGGCGGGTGCTTGTGATTGTGAAGCACGGACCGGTTGTCTTGAATGATGACAAGTGTAACCGGTCAGGCTTCTGCAAACCAGGGACCATCTTCGTTTCGCTTTCTTGAACATGATAATATTTTGGTGTGAGCCTGTGTCAAGCTGATACAGGCTCGGCTGCGGTTGGAGCAATTGTTGGAAGCAATCACTCAGATGCGGCGGACGATGCCAAGCGCTTCTTCGCTTTGCGCATCGACATCAACCAGGAGAAACTGTTTTGTGCAGTACTGTTTCAACATTGCGTTCGCAGCACTTGTTTGGTGTTGGACGCTGAACTTGACACAACGAATTGCTCGCGTGGCTTGCAGGCGTGTTTTTGTTTCCGTCCTTCACCTGTGCAAATTGCATTTCACCTTCCGAATTGGAAGGTATGTCTCGTGCTTGTGCTTGAAGGCGAGGTTCCGCTATGCTAAGTCTGCTTGTTGCGCTGACGCATGCGATATCAAAGACACAGTTGACATCTTAGCGGTTCACTCGGTGTGGCAAGTGGAAACATGGACCAAAACCTGTAGTCCCCTGGCGGTTTAAATTTGACCCATACCCAGTTGGTGAGCCAAAAACCCATGGAATGTCCCATTGCTCCGCGCACATGGCACACACCTTCAGGAGGGCTGCCTGAAGTTCCACGACGACCGCTGCTTCACGGATCTGCGGCTCTGCTTGGCTCTGCAGGGCCCCGGGCCTGTGCTGGCGTTGCCGGAGAACGTGGACTGGCAGCGCCTCGATTCGATGCCCGCGGATGGCCTCGGATACACGGGGGGGGTGGGGTTGAGCAAAAGGTCCCGTTTGAACATGGGATGACCAGTGGTTGGAAAACGACAAACAACAATATGATATTTGTCAACCACTCAATGGGAAAACATGACTCATGGTCATTTTGGGGGCCAAAGGGAAAAAATGATCACCCCCCCACAGAATCCGTGCGAGATGGTTCAGTGCCCCCTTCCCGCGGATACACGCGGGGGGGTTGATCAACCAGTCCCATGAACGTGGGATGACCCTTGGCGAGTATTTCTCACCCTCGCCAGAAGTGGACACCGATTCATATCGCAGGTGTTTTTGGCGTTCAGTGGGGAGGCACACTGTCACGAGGTGGCCCCCAGAGATTTGGAAAGCAGATAGTGACAGATCGGCGAGAGAGGAAAACCATCTGAACGTGTTGCAGATCTGGTTTGATTCCACGTGAGGCTCCAAGCAAATGATTTTTAAATTTCTCTCTCCGTCATCTCACTTAGACGATTGGGCAGATGTGAGTGTGTGTGTGTGTGCATGTTTGGAGGAGGGCCTGGTCTTGGTTTTTGACGCACGGATCATGGCCGGGAAGTGTTACTAGCGAAACCAATGGATGGAGTTCATCATTTCGAGTGAACCTAACACGACGCTATCAGATTGTAGAAGGCAGTGCTGAGGTTCTGGGAGTCCGAGAAAGGGCTCCTGAATTCAGAGGAGGACAGCCTGGAGACGATCCAAAACTGGAACAAGCGGGTCTGTCCCAGCGACAAAGACTCTGGCTCGGAATCGGCACAGCTTTGCATGGTGTTTTTTTCAGGCAAGCTTTCTTGCACCAGTCTGCGTGCTGGTGATGCGGTTCTTCGAATATGCATGCAAGGTACACCTGAGGAGTCAACTACTGCATAGATGCATTTTCAAATCACTACTTGTCGCACCAACTGACTGCACAACCTTCCAGCTCACAAACAAATGATCAGCCAACAAGGTTAGTCACTGATGAAGCAGCTGAGCAACTAAGCAACTAAGTAGCTAAGTTGCCAAGCACCTGGCTAACTTGCCAGGTAGCTAAGCCTATGCTTCATGAAGCTACTCAAGTGACTAGCTAGGCAGCTAACCAGCTAGCTCAGAGGCTCAGGAGCACGTGAAGCTGTTAACTAGCCAGAGCTCGTTAATCAAAGGAGCTGAAGCGCACTTTAAAGCTTTGCTGCCAATGACTAGTAGACCAAGCAATTAGCTGACTAAGTAAGCCAGCGACTAGCTAACTAGCTACCTATTTAGATAGCTAGCATGGAACTAGCTGTCACCTGTTGCTCACCTTCCTACAGAACTCAATTGCCAAGTGGCCAACTAGCGGATTAGATGCCGTAGTTCAGCGCTTGAGTCAATTGGTTAGCTAGCCAAGCCGCTAAGCTGGCCGAGTGGATATTTAGCTACCTAGGTGGCTGACAAGCTAAATCTCTGACTGCCAGCTAATTAGCAACATATCCAACAAGCCATACAACAACCCAGCTGACTTGCTCATTGGCTAGTAAATGGCTGGATAGCGAATTGGTGAATTACATACCCAACTCACTAGAGAACCAGTCAGTTGCTGACCTGAATTGACTAGTTCACCAGCCGATATAGCTGGGTTTAGTTCGCGCCGCTGCGAGCTACTGGGCTACAACAGGCGTGCTACGGCCCGGGCTTGGGCGGAGCAGGGAGTCGAGTTGATCGCGGAACGTGAGGGGAAGAGACACGGCTGGTTGAGCAGCTGGGCTTTGCCAAGCTGAGCTAGAGCGTAGCAGGGCTTGGGGTCTTTGGGGTTGAGCTGCGGCTCAGGTCGGGGCAGGCAGAGATCGATCGGACGAGCGTGTTTCGCTCGGGTGTGTTGAATTGGCTTCGGCTGTGCTGAAAGTGCATTGGGTCTGAGTGGGGCGAGGGGGTTGGGACTAGGCGAAGGCCAGGGAGTGGGGGGCTGGGAGGTGGAAGGGGTTGGGGATGTTTCGGAAGATCCCATTTGAAGCCTGGTTTCAAACTTTTCCACGAACCCCAGCTCCGCTGCTTTACCAGTAAAGACGCGAACGCAAGCATCTCACAGAAGTTTGGATCCAAGTACCAGCCTTCTCGTCCCAGGAAACCGCAGTGCCACCAGGGAGCCTCCTGTTCCTTAGGGGCGGTGAGCAGGCGACGCCGGTGCTGCAGAGGTCGTCGGGCGCCGACGGCGTGCCCGCGAGGCTGTCCATTACTCTGGACTACGTGACTCAAGATGTGAAGGCAAGGCTCCATGCGCCAAGACTCCCCCCCGTTTCATGGGTTCAATTTGTCATGGCTTTATTCCCCCCCCCCTCCCAGGAGGGCTTGGTTGTTGGTTTTTGATTTGATCTCTTGCTTCAGCTGATTGACAGATGCGACTGAATGTGAGGACCACCTGATCGAGATGCACATGGAACAAGACTTAGAGGGAGAGGAGGGAGAGGAGGAAGAGGAAGAAGAGGGAGATGCAGAAGTGGCAAACGACACAGTAGCAGACTCGACAGCGGCAGAGGAAAACCAATGCGTGTTGCTCTCGTGGAGTGATGGCTTTGGCCACTCATGTTCTGTTCTCTCTGTGATTAGCCAACGCCTGAGCAAAGATGTGAATTGGCAGGTACTGCCCGACCGCACAAAGAGTGATGCTTGCGGGCACTTGCTTCTCGTTAATGGAAAATCGATTTGGTGCCATGGTTGCTCTCTCGCATAGAGTTTCGAGTGTTGCACACGAACCATGATTTCAGTTCTCCCGCTCAATCAGACATGAATAAGCTCAGGTGATATCCCCAACAGCATGCGGGGCACTTTTTAGTGCTCGCACCACCCCGCAGCCCTCGCAGAACCTCTTGGAACCCTGGTGGAACCCTGGTGGAACCCTCGTGGAACCTTACCTCAGGGCTGCCCCAGACCAATTCAGAGCCTATTTGGGCTGAGACCCCAAAGCTTTCAGCTGTTGGGGACAAAAAGGTTGAACCCAGCCAATGGAGAACAAAGGAGCAAGGGCAGTGTTTGTGATGATGCCAGAAGGGGAGCGAGCTGGGCACCAAGTGCGCTTCGGGATGTTGCAGCCACCTGATCGCGCACAGACCTGTGTCCAGCGTGGCAAAAGGCTTTGGCACACGCAGAGGTGACTCATCCCTTGTGGAGGCCTCCTCTGAAGAATGAGGCAATACCACTATCATTCATGTTTGGAGGCGAACGATGCACCTTGCCGGCATCAAAGCCACTGTCAAAGCCAATTGGCATGACTGCAAGACAGTTTGAAGTATTTGGCCCGCTTTGGGTTTTGAAACAAATCTAAGTCAAATAAGTCAGCCAGTGGAAGCGACCAGATGCCGTCCGTGTCTCCCGGAAGCGCCCTCGCGAGTCATTCCGCTTGCCAGGATTGGCTCAGACAAGGCACAACAACCGTTCATGGCGAGCATCCATGCTGGAAATCAGGAGTTACAAGCTTCATCCTAATAAGTCATCAGTTCACGCTTGGCTGATGTCAAGTAGCAACTTCTGTCACATGCACTGTTGGCAAACCTGAATCACGCCCGAGCCTTTGTTTGATTATTGGATTGACGCGGTCAGCTCGAACCATGACTTCCATCATGGCCGCAGAAGGCCTAAGAGCATCTGGCAATTGAAACTTCTCGGCGTTTATAGGTTTACCAAAAGAAACCAGGACCAAAACCTATCCTTGTGCCGCACAGCCGCAAAAAGCCCTGCTGCTGGCCTTTTTTGGCATGGTCTGAGTCTTAGATTTTAGATCCCTTGGCTGATTCACTGGAAGAGAAGCCTAGCAGCGCATTGATTGGCGACATTTGGGGCGAGGCGGCGGTGACGCGCAAGCGCAAAGCAGATGAGGAGCGGGTCACCTTCACCGAAAAAGCCCTTGCCCTCGGCAGAACGAAGGGAGCTGGTTGTCCGGGCAGCCGGGAAGTACCCTCCCTCCAACATGGCAGCTCACAGAGGGTCGAAGCTGGAGCAAATTGATCTTCCAGGTACCCTCCAACAGGTGCTGCCGTGGATGGACAAAGTCCTGCACCACTTAAGAATCCCTGGAATGATGATTCCCCCCGCAAATAGTTACTAACAAACCGTGGTTTCAGCCATGGTTTCTTAGGTGGTGCGAAATGGATGTTGTCCATACACAGTATGTTTCTCTGACAGCAGAGACCTGTCCAGGAGCCCCCCGAGCTGCAGCCGGGCGCTCGGACATGAGAGAGGGATGGCTGGAAAGTCGTCGAAGTCCGAGGACCCGCACCTACACGGCCCAGCGGGTGTTGGGGAAGGGATCCTTTGGAGTGGTGTACCAGGCAAGGAGTCAGAGCTATGGAAACGTGGCAGCCAGTATCCGGGTCAAGCCAGGCAACAATTTAGGTGCAGATTCACCGCCGACTTCCAGAAAGCTTGCATTTCGCACTGGACCATTTCCCCCGCACTCCAATAGATTGAACGAACCGCGTTCGCACCGCTTCCGACTGGACGCCTTGGCCATTTTCGTCTCATTCCAAGTTCACGTGACACGAGACTGGCCCGAAGGCGCAGGTCCTGGAGACTGGCGAGACGGTGCGGCCGACGGAGCGTTTTTCTGTCAAAACACGGCTTTTTCGCGAGATGATATATCAGGTCGGCTCTGACTGGTTTGGATTGGTGGTTTGAGTCCTGGGAGCCCTGGCTTTTGTGGAGGATACATGGGCCTACATCTCCCAAAATCACCAAACCTCGAGCATTCTTTCAACCATCGTTCTTTTCAGAAACCAGTCGTTTTTTGTTGGGATTCTGGAGGTTTGCTAGAAAGAAGGATCCCTAGAAAGAATGGGACAGGTACCCCTAGAAAACCACCAATTAGGGGTAGGGTGAATACACCTGACAGTCGATCACTCACACGACAGGTTGCCATCAAGTCCATCAAAATGCAGGAAAAAGACCGAGAGGCGCTGGGGTGTGGTGATTCGAGTGGCCATGAAGAGCGTCATTTGGCCATGGGTCATAACCTATGCCTCCATTTTGGGGCGGATGAACACCAATGTACCATCTATTTTGATGTTCACCAGGGGTACAGGGTTTTGACCCACAGCCATTTCATTGGTTTGGTCCTCATTGTTCGCCCTTGTTCCAGATTGACAAATGTGTGGTCTTTTTCAACTGGTGCTGCTTCAAACTTTAGATGTTTGCAGGACTGCCCAAGAAAAGCGTTCTATGCGCCATGTGCGAGGTGCAAATCCTGAAGGAGCTGGATGGCCATCCCAACATTGTGTGCTTGTACCAGGCTCAGTCTTGGTGCGGTTACTGGGACGCCCCTGAACCAAACCATCAATCCAAATCTAGAGGGTCACCTTTGCCACACCAAGAGGAACATCTACGTCTGCACCTTTGCCCGGGCCTTCCCAAGGTGGCCTTGGCACTTTCGCTGAGGCACGGCGCCTTCCTCAGCGACGAGGGCACAGCTGGACAGGGCACCAGGCGGAGTTCGCGGAGTTCGCGGCGTGCGGAGGGCGCTGCTTCCAAGGGATCAACGGCAAGAAGCGCGGCATGCTGCTGCTGGCCATGAAGGTCTAATGTCGCAGATGTTCGAAATTATGCCTTGGAGTCCAATTCTGTGAAAGCAACCACCCCCTCAACTTGAGTATATACCGGCTGTATGGGTGTGGCGTTTGCTAGGGAAACCCCGTTACTTTTGGTTTCCTTTTGAAGCAACCAAACAAAGGGTAGCCTCAAAATCAGACACATCTATAATATAAGTGTTGCACACTTTGGAGCCATGGGTTCACCCTCAGTACAGTCCTTCAAGCCCAAAGCTGGCGGTTGCATCTGCCTTGCGTAGGCTCAACCTGGTCCTAGAGTTCCTCTCTGACACTCTGCATAGAGTTCGCTCCTGAGCCACATATTCACACCTGCGACAAGTGAAGAGTCCCGTGGCTTGCTCTCAGTTGGCTGTGTTGATCTCTTGGAGATCGGCTTGGCCAGATGGCAATGTTGGCAGGTCAGCCTTTTAGATTGCTTATCTAAGGGCTCCGCCCTGTGCCGACCACCAGAATCTGAACACATTTTAGACAGCACAACATATTAATATCTCTCTCTATACATATAACATATGTACAGTATAATATGCAAATACATTTGTTGCTTCTGGGGTACGGATGTTGCCGACGAAAGAATCTCACGTTGAAGACAAACAGCCAAAGAGCGTGAAAACGAGCCATATTTTTCCACGGCCCTTTTCGAGTATCACGGTGATACTTTTGTACTAAAGAAGATGCTGGGGGGGTTCACTTTTTCTGGAACATATAGTCATCACCAAGGCCCATAGTGACTTTTGCATTGTATCTGTATATAAAATCAAGTCAGGATTGCAGCAGCAACATCCGAACCAACACCAGAAGCCTTTGTACTGATGATCCAATCAGTTAGACAAATGTTTCATGATAGTGACTTATGATTTACTTAGCAGTGCAACAATGATTTGTTGCCACGTTTTTTTTGTGTGCCTCCCCTTTTTTGTGAGGTCATCAAGCACTACAACCAGCTGGGCAAAAAAATGGTGTGGGCCTCGCTGGGCATTCTTTGACATGGCCATGGGTCAAAATCCAAATCGTACCCCCAGTGAACATCTGATTCAATCCCCACTACAATAGGGAATCTAAAATGGGCCAATCCCCCCAAAATGGGATCGCATTGGTTTTGACAACCACAGCCATCCCCACTAGACTAAAATGGGTGGTGCAAGGAAACCCCAAAATGGGATCCCATTGGTTTTGACAACCACAGCAACATGTTTTTGGACCCGGAGATGAGAGATTTGGGCATCGTCGCGATTTGACCCATGTAGAGTCACCTGAGCTACAATCAAACCCAGGTACTCGGAGGGTTGCAAGGGACACCTTCAGGCAGAAGCGGTTGCGGCCGCCGTTTTATTTCTTTACCTATTTTTTTTTCCGGGATTACGGCCATTTGAATACCGGTCGCCTTGTGATTGTGGCTTTATTCTGGCAGAGCCAAGGAGGCGTTCTATGCCAAGCTGTACCAGTTCCAGCTGATGCGAGGCCTGGGGCTCCGGCAGGGCCGCGGGTCGGTTGGGAAGGGTTCGGAAGGGAGCGGCTCGAATGTTTTTTCAGCCAGGGCAAACCGCAGGTGGTCTTTGGCTCCATGTACCAAGGTGCCATTTTGGGGTTACTCTATTTTTGAGCCACAGCCATATGACAGGAGACTTGTAGCTTCTCAGCCCTCACAGTTGCATGCTCGATCTCCACAGTTGATTTCGAAAGGGATCATCCCAGACCTTGCACAGACCTTGCACAGACCTTACACCGCTACTTTGGATTGCTATGCGCACAGATGTTGTAAGGTCTCGGCAATCAACGTGTCTCGGTGAGGCCTTGCGTTTGTCCACGGTCGTGGCATTGTGCACTGCGACCTCAAGCCGCCGGGGTGCACGGCTGCCATTGTTTCTTTCTTGGCTCGTTGGGAATGGGGTACAGAGTCAGGGTCGTTCGCACCGCACGTGTAGCAGCTCTGCTTCACTCTAATATGTGACTGGATCACTTCACCCCGGTTGGGGGGGGGGGTGTACGACAACTCACGGTTTGATGGTTCTGCGGCGGGTTGCATGCCAATTTGCAAGGCTGAAGAAAACATGTACTAGTTACTGGTCTTGTCCTGGCACCTCGACGTCCTTGTTGCTGAAAGGCACCTAAGACGAGATTCAGATTGCTGTGGCGCTTGTGATTGCCTTTGCTCCCCGTGTTCCAGGAACTCGCCTCCCATCAAGCTGATCGCTCAAAATCATTCAGCCTATGACTGGGTTACTGGATCACTCGCAGGCAGAATTTGCTGCTGGACGGAAAGTCCCAGACCCTGAAGATCTGCGACTTCGGCACCGCGAAGCGCATGATCTTCGGCGAGCCGCCGCGGCCTCGGAGTGTTTGAGCTGAAACCTATCAGAAGCGAAGACTCTCGTTGAGTTGGGTTGGCTCATGCCTAGAGGCGCTCATGTCGTTTCTGAGTCGTTGTCCCCACTTGGTCGGGGTCTGACACGGGTGTCCTTATTGACAGCGCCCTGCACAATCCTTGAGCTGTGGTCTCGCGGATTCATGTGTAGCAATCCCTGGCACCCATGGGCCAAGCGCCAACGCCACGCGTCCAAAACGGCGGTTTGGGCGAAGGCAGCGCACGTACATGGTGTCGCGCTATTACCGGGCGCCCGAGCTGATCTTGGGAGCCGGCGCCCTGGAATTCTTGCCGCTTGCACGGGAAAGCGAATGGAGGCTGCGCCTGGTGTTGGAGTGATTGATGTGGAAGGCTTTGCTTGAAGGGCCCATTGCTTCATGCGTGTGATGTGGTGGCTGAGCAAAATCAGGCTCCCTGAAGGCAAAGAGGTAGGCTGCATATTCCTCACTGGATGCCGTGAGGGTTTGGGACCGCATTGCGAGGCGACAAACTACACCACGGCCGTGGACTTGTGGTCTGCAGGTTGCGCCTGGGCCTTTGAGCATGAGATGGTGCCGATCTCGAGGCTCACCCAACTTTTGCACTCCGGTTGCTATCGTGATTCCCAGAAAGTGTCATGAAATGTGGTACGAAGCTGTGCAATTGCAGCTGCACTTTGGCTGAAAGCCAATGAATGACGTGCTTTGGCGAGCTATTGAAGCTGAACTTAGAGGTGTGGCCTGCAAGGTCTTTGGAGAGCTGATCCTGGGGCAGCCGCTCTTCACTGGGAAAGATGGAATCGACCAATTGGTGCGGCATGGCACGTTTGCACTTCACACGTGATGGTCACATATGCCGGGTTTGGAAACGTTCGGTGCAGGTTCAAATTGTTAAAGTTCTGGGGACGCCATCCCCGACGCAATTGCGCGTCGGCCTTAGATGTGCTCAGGTGCGTCAGGTTCCAAGGTGCTTGCAATGAGTTTTGCAGAGCCTGTCCTATGCTCACGGATCGCCGAGGTGCCATGAATCCGAACTACCCGGATTACGAATTCACGCCACAGTGACCTGGGCTGAATTTGTCAAGCAACTTGATCATAGTCATGTGCATTTTTGCAGCCGGCATGGGGGTAAAACGAGCTCACCATGGTAAGGATCCTTTCCGCGAGGATTCCTCATTTCTACTTTTGGACATATTGTAATTTTCGCAGTAGTTGTTTCGCGCTGCTTGCGCGCACTTTGGCCAGGATCACACCCCACACATGGGACAAGGCGAGAGGTTGCTGCGGTGCATGGCTTCCTGTTTGCTGTCTTGCAGGTCCTGAGGGGCTGGGCACCGCCCCATGCTTGTGACCTGGCCTTGGGCCTCAGCCGGCAAACAAGTTGCAGTCAAAGAACTTCATTGTGACTGGTCAAGATATCCAGTTTGGCCGCTTGAAGACTCCTCTGGCCGCTTGTGTGCTTGTTCGGCTCACTTTTTTTTGTGTGTGTGTGTAAATCTGCATGTTGGCCTGAACACTGGGTTCTTGGCTTGGCGAAAGGCAATAAACGCCACATCACGAAGCCCGCTCATCGCACGACTCAGATTGGATTGATGCTGACGTACGATCCAGCCTGGAAGCCAAGTCGATGAGTTTTGCGTTGTCATGGGCCGAGCGACTTTATGTGTTCCTCGTTGCTGCACCTCAATAGACACCCAACGCCAACATGGCAGTGTGGTTTCAGTTTCTGCCAGGAATGAGTTGGCATGAGGAGGTTGTTCTTACAGACTCGCTTGCTTGCTTTCCTTGTTTCTTATTTCAGATGCTACCTCTCCACTGGGCATGTGATTCCTGTGAAGTGATTCTCGCCAGGCGGCCCGCTCACCGTGCAGCTGGCAAGTTTGCAAGCATGGCACATGTTGTGCGCGGCTCATTCTCAAAATGTCAAGCATTTCCTGCAGGCAGTGGGGCTGGGAAACGTTTGCGTCCTGCAATTGGGACACTTGGCAACTTGCCGTTGAGATCGGTTTACTCAAGCGAGCAGCTTGAGCCAACTTGCCTTTGAGTTCGAGGCTGTTGATGCTAGAGGACTTTTCTCACGAGCCCCAAAATGGGCGTTGAGGGCATCCCGTTCACGTGCAATCAGCCAAGTGAGGGTGCAGCGCATAGATGCTCGTGGGCATTTCCGTAGGTCAAAAGGAAAGCACACGACGCTCTCGCTCGCGTCCGCACAAAAGAAACATTTTGGTAGGCCAAGCGGCAAGCATTAATTGTCCGGCGCATCCACAATGCAGCACCTGCACGGAGCAAATAGGTAAGCGCACGTGTTCATGTTCGTTCTGGGAGTTCATGCGCTGGTCTTCCTTGGGTACATCTGTGTGGGCATGTGTGCTTTAGCAAGAGCTCCCGGGGAAGCGTAGTTTTTTGGCCATCCGCAGGGTAAACAGAAACAGCTGCTGTTTTGCTAGTTACAACGGTGCGGTGCAACTTCGTTCTGCTTGCTGGAAGAGCTTTGGAAGGGGTGTGGACCGCCCAAGAAGCACCCTTTTGCAAGGTCAAAATGGGTCTGTCTTTTTTTCAGGGAACCCTTTTTGGGTTTGTTTGAAAGAGAAAACAAAAGGAACAGCCACCATTTTGGGGAGGTGTTCTAAACAAGGCAGACCCAACAGCTGTTTGCCCACAGCCAAACAAGGGACGGGAAACGATCCGCCTGCGGACTCCAAGTGTTTGCTCGAAACGCCAAGCGTTTCGTTCGGCTGCCAGGCCGTTACACATCCTGCTGCACCCCTTCTTTTCTGAGCCGCTTGGCTGACGGATGAGTTTTGGGACCAACACGCCTGCCCGGTTTTTCTCCATTGACATTCGATCTTATGGCGAGCAAGTCAAGAGCCTTGCATGGGTGAAGACGTTCTCAGCAGACATGCGGGTATATGCCACGGGCAAACCGTGCAAAGTCTCTCAACTCCGAAGACCTGCTGCCGCCAAGGCTGCGTTCTGCAGACAAGAAAGAGCGGCTTGGCTGCAAGGTGAGTGGAGACTGGAAGTTGGGAGGCGGTGTTGGCCTTGTCCCAACGCTCGGATCTGACATCTCTTTGGCAAAGCATCTCGGAAATGATTGGGGTTTCGTTTTGGGCAATTTTGTTTCATCCCTAAGGCTCGGAAGGCTGGGAGGTCTCTGAGCTTCAAGCGCATGTCTGAGGCAGTGCCGGATGCTCTTCAACTTCCGGGAGGATGGGCAGTCGAGAGGTTGCCAGTGCAAGTACCGCAAGCTCGTGCCAGCTAAGTGCTCACTAAGCTGCCTCTGTGGTGCCTGGTGTTGCATGAGGATGAGCTCTGGTGGTTGACCGGCAAAGAGAAGCAGGCTCTCATTCCAAGTGCCGCACTCAGCTGGTGTTTTCACTTAGATCTGAGGGTCTTGAGGCGTGGGCCCGGATTTCTTTGTTCTCGGCAGGTTGCAGGAGTCCAGGTCGCTGTGGGTTCGACGCTGAATATGATTTTTCTGAATTGGACACTTCCCTTTTGCTCCTGGAGACCTCAGAATTTGACGAGCTCCAAGCTCAAGACCGGCCATCAGCTAAATCCTTGAGCCTCGTTCCTTCCATTCGGCCTGTTCTTGGCCTCAACTCCTTGACCCTCATGCCCAAGCCATCACACCCCGTTCATTCCATGAAGCCTGCCACTATCTTGAGACTTCCCTGCCACGGCACCTGGGATCCAGAAGCCAGGCTGGGCTTCCGACAAGCCTGCAGCTTGACACCGGCGTGCAAGAAAGCATGCCGCACGCGTGACCTGAGCCACCAAACGGGTAGATGAAGGTTAGTAAGGGAGAATCCCCCTGCCATAAAATGGGTGCGGGAATCCGCCTTGGCAATTCTGGAAGCATGGTTCCGAGATTACGACCATTTCAATGCCGGGGTTTGATTGTGACTCTTGTGACTCAGATGGCCTCTCCAGGTGTCCCCGACAGCGCTTTGACCAGCATCCGGATATAGATGCAAAGGTCAAATCGAGAAGTCCAAGAGCCCACTTAGAATTGAAGATGCTTCATACTGCACTTCTGCAGACTTGTAGATTATTGGGCTAAATCTGGCGCTCCGCTGCCATTGGCTCGGAAGCACGCTATGGCGGCGGCCAATTTCCGAGGCTGGGATGACCAGCCAATATGTGACTTCTTCAGCCGCACGTATTCCGCTCCAGGTTTCCTTTGTGAGCCAAATGGTTGTACCACTTTAGGGGACCGCTCAAGATGGTTAGCCTTTTGGCGATTAGCCCCGAGCCACGGGCACCCCACCATAGGCGGATAATCTCCGCGGCCAGAGGCGCGGCAGTTTGCTGAGGGGCGCTCTCCGGGTGGCTTGAATGTGGCCTGTGAGTTATTTTAAGCGGATCGTGTGATTTTCATTTGCCATTTGCCGGATCTGGCGGTGGTTGTGCAAACCAATGGGATCCCATTTTGGGGTAGGTGCACCACCCAATTTTAGAACCTTTTTTAGTGGGGGATTGGGATGTTCACTGGGGGTACGGGATTTTGACCCATGGCCATATTGCCCTCCTGGGAATATTTCTCTATTCCTCTCGAGTAACGAGAATAGCTTTTGCAGGTCCCAGGGCAAAGATGTGTTCTGTCACATGTGGCCAGCCAGCCAACTAACCAGCCATCCAGCCAGCCTTCGGTGTTCGGAGTTGCAGAGGATGGCACCGCCAAAGAAGGCAGCAGATGCAAGTACGGCCCCGCACTCGAAGAACGGCGTGAGATTAAGGCTTGGACAAGTCCGCCGAGATTCCAATGTGTCCAACATGTCAGGATGATTCAGGCATGTTAAACAAAAGCGCTGCGCTGGGATGTATTGTAAAGCAAGATGTTGTGTTTGCTTGCATTCTGGTGGCAGGAAGGGAAAGCCACCCAGCCATGAAAGCTTGACGGAGTTGTCGATTACAGCGTGGCAGAAGGTTTGCCCACATTTGGTGCACGGTTTGCGAACCTTCGGCCACATGTCTCACCAGCGCTCTGAGCCAACAGCCTAGCCGAGGTGGACCTGCACGTGACTCACGTGCCGCTGAGCGCGCCCATCAATTATGTGGGTCCCAGGACACCGTCTCCAGCCCCCGTGGCAAGAGCACAAGGGGACGATATTGGAATGGTTGCAGTGGAGCAATCTGAGGTGGTTCTTGCAATATGGTGGAGGATTGAAACCAGGTGCACTCTGAAGTTCATTAGCGGAGGAAAAAGCAGGCATGGACTACATTAGACCGGTCAGGCAGATGTCGTGCGTTGTATCTACGTTATTGTCTTGAATTGCAAAACAACACTTGCACTGTCGCAGGTGCAAGCAAGTAGAGACACATGTCATGCCGCTTTCCAACGGTTTTGTTTCGTTTGGCAGGATGTGGTTGTCCGACAAACCTGTCAGGCAATCCAGCCAATGTTGTCAAGGCGTTGAACACTGCAACTGAAAGTGAGAACAAACTATGGACCAGCATCCTAGTCTAAGCTATGCAGAAGAAGTTGATGACTGAAATATGTGCATGTTGAAGGCTTGAGCTCAGGTGCACGACGTGTGTGTTTGAGACTTGTGAGGACCATTTGCTACGCTGCAGCCAACAGTGTAGCCATCTCAGTTGCGCTCAGCTTTGGTATGGATGTAGTGTAAGCTTTGGCACAGAGGCACCCCTTCAGTCCAGGTGCTTGGTCAGGTTTTTAAACACATTCAGCATGCAAGTGAACAAGCGGAACGCGGGGTGGATCTGGTTGATTTGTTTTCAAACCATGCAGGCTCAGGTTGCTTGTTTGCAAATTCAGCATTGCAGTGGCTTGTTATTTGCGGCCAGCAGTGGTTGTGCTATGTATAGTGTGCGCTCAACACAGGAGCTTCTTGGGGTCCAGGTTTGGAGAGAGTGTGGGCGGACGAGTTCTCCGTTTAGGGAGCGAAAGTACAAACGGTCATTATTCACCACCTACCGTACTAGGCGATGGTGTGGCCCAGACTCACCAAACTCCGACAAGAAAATGGCTGTCAGCAAGGGAGACCATGAGTATTGACCGTGGCTTGCATATATCCACGCATATGATTATATATATACATATGTAATATAGCAACATATGATTGAATACATATAATCTATGATCATTCATACATACGCATATCTACATTTACATATATATATATATGTATGACAGTTTTGTGTATATATATATATATACCAATGTATACATGTATGTAATGTAATGTACTGTACTGTACTGTAATGTAATGTAATGTAATGCCATGTAATGTAATGTAATGTAATGTATGTATGTAAGTATGTATATGTGTATGTATGTCTGTATGTATGTATGTATGTAATGTAATGTAATGTAATGTAATGTAATGTAATGTAATGTAATTAATGTATGTAATGTAATGTAATGTAATGTAATGTAATGTAATGTAATGTAATGTAATGTAATGTAATGTAATGTAATGGAATGGAATGTAATGTAATGTAATGTAATGTAATGTAATGTATGTAATGTATGTAATGTATGTATGTATGTATGTATGTATGTAATGTATGTATGCAATGCAATGCAATGCAATGCAATGCAATGCAATGCAATGCAATGCAATGCAATGCAATGCAATGCAATGCAATGCAATGCAATGCAATGCAATGCAATGCAATGCAATGCAATGCAATGCAATGCAATGCAATGCAATGTATGTATGTATGTATGTATGTATGTATGTATGTATGTATGTATGTATGTAATGTATGTATGTATGTATGTAATGTAATGTAATGTAATGTAATGTAATGTAATGTAATGTAATGTAATGTAATGTAATGTAATGTATGTAATGTATGTAATGTAATGTAATGTAATGTAATGTAATGTAATGTAATGTATGTATGTATATGTATGTAATGTATGTATGTATGTATGTATGTATGTATGTATGTATGTATGTATGTATGTATGTATGTATGTATGTATGTATGTATGTATGTATGTATGTATGTAATGTATGTATGTATGTATGTATGTATGTATGTATGTATGTATGTATGTATGTATGTATGTATGTATGTAATGTATGTATGTATGTATGTATGTATGTATGTATGTATGTATGTATGTATGTATGTATGTATGTATGTATGTAATGTATGTATGTAATGTATGTATGTATGTATGTATGTATGTATGTATGTATGTATGTATGTATGTATGTATGTATGTATGTATGTATGTATGTATGTATGTATGTATGTATGTATGTATGTATGTATGTATGTATGTATGTATGTATGTATGTATGTATGTATGTATGTATGTATGTATGTATGTATGTATGTATGTATGTGTATGTATGTATGTATGTATGTATGTATGTATGTATGTATGTATGTATGTATGTATGTATGTATGTATGTATGTATGTATGTATGTATGTATGTATGTATGTATGTATGTATGTATGTATGTATGTATGTATGTATGTATGTATGTATGTATGTATGTATGTATGTATGTATGTATGTATGTATGTATGTATGTATGTATGTATGTATGTATGTATGTATGTATGTATGTATGTATGTATGTATGTATGTATGTATGTATGTATGTATGTATGTATGTATGTATGTATGTATGTATGTATGTATGTATGTATGTATGTATGTATGTATGTATGTATGTATGTATGTATGTATGTATGTATGTATGTATGTATGTATGTATGTATGTATGTATGTATGTATGTATGTATGTATGTATGTAATGTATGTAATGTATGTAATGTAATGTATGTATGTATGTATGTATGTATGTATGTATGTATGTATGTATGTATGTATGTATGTATGTATGTATGTATGTATGTAATGTATGTATGTATGTATGTATGTATGTATGTATGTATGTATGTATGTATGTATGTATGTATGTATGTATGTATGTATGTATGTATGTATGTAATGTATGTAATGTAATGTATGTATGTATGTAATGTATGTATGTATGTATGTATGTATGTATGTATGTATGTATGTATGTATGTATGTATGTATGTATGTATGTATGTATGTATGTATGTAATGTATGTAATGTAATGTAATGTAATGTATGTAATGTATGTAATGTAATGTAATGTATGTATGTAATGTAATGTATGTAATGTAATGTAATGTAATGTAATGTAATGTAATGTAATGTTTGTATGTATGTATGTATGTATGTATGTATGTATGTATGTATGTAATGTATGTATGTATGTATGTATGTATGTATGTATGTATGTATGCATGCATGCATGCATGTATGTATGTATGTATGTATGTATGTAATGTATGTATGCAATGCAATGCAATGCAATGCAATGCAATGCAATGCAATGCAATGCAATGCAATGCATGTATGTATGTATGTATGTATGTATGTATGTATGTATGTAATGTATGTATGTATGTATGTATGTAATGTATGTATGTATGTATGAAATGTAATGTAATGTAATGTATTGTAATGTAATGTAATGTAATGTAATGTAATGTAATGTAGTGTAATGCAATGTATGTATGTATGTAATGTAATGTAATGTAATGTAATGTAATATACTGTAATGTAATGTAATGTAATGTAATGTAATATAATGTAGTGTATGTATGTAATATTTTACACTGGATAACACAACATTCTATGTATATAAAATGTGCATACAGAACGCTCTCTGGCTTCGATGGCTTCTCGCTCGAGGTGCATCTTTGGGA